GCATGCGTTCAACTGACTGGCGGCTGCAACATGGATTGTCTCTTGATTAAGGGGGGTAGCATTCCAACAGCCTGATCGACCCTTCTAGAGTCATGGCAAAGCAACTTTTTGGTTCCCCGATCTGCGATCAACAGGAAACGCATCAGGTTTGCCATTGTCTGGCAGGAATTTGGCGTCATGGTGCAGTTTTGCTGGCGATCGCCGTGTGGCAGTTCCAGCCTGAATTGGCCCAGCATGACTGTCAGTGGGCAGCGCGCCACGCGATGACAAACCTGAGTGGCGCATCCAACCAACCTGCCAGCGTCTCCTTTACTTGCAAGTGCAAGTATGGGGTGTGGAGTGGCCTCTGCATGCTAATGTACGTGACCTGATCGAGTAGGGGTCTTTCATGCACGTCGGCATATTACGGCACTAAACCCAATGCCTCCCCCTTTCCTACCTCTGTAAGCGGGATTCCCGTGAGGCGAGGTGCAGCGCCGGATGGAGCGAGGCAATGCGCGTAAAGGGGCAGCGTGCTGACTTGCCTCGGCAGCCAAGTACCGTCGCGGAATCATGCTCTTTTCGCCTTCCGGCAGTCAACTCGGCAGCAAGACAGAGGCCAATTGACAATTCAGGGTCTCCTGTTCACGAGATGGAAGCTGCAGAGAGGGAGACCGGGCAAACACCGGCAGGGCCGAGCCATTGCGAGATACCGAGGAGGCCAGCGGCTCCAGCGGCCCGCGAGACAAAGAGGAAGAAAACATTTTTTTCTTCTCTCTCTGCTTCCTACGACGGGTCTGGAGCTAGTGAAGCGTGTCTGTTGTCTATTCAGGTCTGGACTCTCGACCGTATGCTACTCTGCTCGCAGGCCATCACAACAGCAGCTGGAGTCTTTGCCACGGCTCTCCGAATCCGGCCGTGGCCAGTGGCGCTCGCGCTTCGCTTCAATCGCAGGATTTTGAATTTCCGTGTACTGTAGAGGAACTCTGCGACTGTCAAATTGGGTAATGTCGACTGCAGAGCAACGTCGTACCGAGACAGTGCGATTAGCATCAGAGCAGCATGCAGAATGCTACTCAGTGCGGACGGCGCCCGTCCCAAAGAATCATAGCCACAGGTCAGAGCTGCAGGCTTGCACGGCCTTGGCTCGGTTGTGGCCCCGAGAGTCCCTCACAGTAAGCCTCACAGTGAAGCGAAACGCCTGCTAAACCGTCTGCAGCGAGGTGCATATGGCCTACTGTACGATTATTGAGCTGCCGCGGGCTGCGGCTGGACCTGGCAATGTTGAGTGAGCATGACCTGATTGGACACATCCACAGGCCACCATTCATTGGCCAATTACAAGCACAAGCAACAAGAGGTCTCCCATCTGGCATTGAGCACTGGCTGTACTTGCGTATACTTGAAGCACGGAGTGCGAACTCATACAAGTAAGAACAAACACGGGGTGCCAATCAACAGGCTTTGCGATATATGACGGCACTGTGGTGTATTTTTAGGCGCGGATGTGAGCTTCGCCTGCTGACGGTCCCCTGAGCGCAATGAGGATCATCCTTGTTGGAGCAATCACGTCTCTGCCTTCTGTTGTTCCATCAGCGTTCGAAATGTAGACGGGCGAAAGGGCTGACCTACAGTACAGCCCACAACACCAACACGGTCCATTTCCAGCGGGCGGTGAATGGATGGGAATCATGCCCATCCGCCTTGCAAGCGGAGCCTCGCCCTCGCTTGTGATGCTCTCTGATCAATGAATGGGCGCACAGCTGCTGCCCAGCTCCAGCTCCAGCTCCATCCAGCACGCAAGCAAAGACGACCCTAGCTCACGCGCCAAATGACCCCAGCAGCTTCGCGCTAAGCTCTGCTGGAGCGGCTTTTTTGTATGAGGCATATTTTGTCTGCCTGCTTGCTTGTTTGTCAGAGCAAAGCCTACAGTACAGTATGTGGCTTTCTCTCAGAATGGAGAAGTCAATTTAGGAGAGCTTCTTGGCGAGCTAGCCTCCCGTCATCATTGTGATGCTGCGCTATGAAGAAACTTGCTTATGCCCTTCTATGCGTATTCGATGCCGTCTTAACGCTTTATGGCAGCAAGTGACTTCATTCCTCCACCGCTGGCTGAGCATCAACGACGACATAATGGGCAGACAGCATCTGCGGCACGCGAAGCTCCTCTCTTCAATCTCCTTGATCTCTCTCGTGTTACCTATGCCAAGCACTTGGGATATTACCGGTATTAGATTTGCCAAGGGCGATCTCTGTTAAGCGGTGGAATTCGACAGATGGATCAGTTCTCGCTTGTCGTTGCAAAAGGGAGAGTGCTATAAACAGACATCCCTACTGGTATACACACATGCATGAATGCTCACGAGAGAGAGAGTGGTGCTGATATGTACATGACTTGAGGTGACTCTGGGCATGGGCATGGAACGTAGCAGCCGGAAGTACTGGCTGTAGGGCAACAACTTACAAGGCCAAGGTCACAATCCTCGTATTTTCGATCCATATTCGACGAGACACGTTAGTGAGAGACATGTCTTGTACGATATATGCTTAACACAGGAGCCATAGTGCCAGGGCTGCTGGTCAGTTAAGCGACAATCTGTGAGACATGCAAGGCGAGGCGAGGCGAGGCGGAAATTTGCAAGGTACGGAGCATATACCGCGATCCCTTCTTGTACTGCTTTGCCTGCACGCGTACGGGGCATGTACCTACATACGAGCTCTGGGACCGATCGGGCCCCGGGAGTCGCTACGGAGCAAATATGGTGGATGGTGGATTATGAGCACGGAGCAGCGATTGCAATGCCAGCATACGCATATAGGCATGTACATTTCATACTTGCCGGTCTACACGTACACGGCAAGCACCTCTTGTAAGTGCTGCATGGAGCTGAAGCTGAAAATCCCACGGAGACGCTGCCTGCTTCTTTTGCTCCCGTGCATGCCTTTGCGCGCTCCCCTGACAAGGGCATCGACGCTTTACTCTTTGTCTGTTTATTCGATGCAGATGCGAGCGGGGAAGCGAGCGGCACATCGAGAGAAGAGCTTCCCATCCCTTGGTTCTGCTCTCATTTGCGTGGCCCCCTCCAATCCCTTGAGCCTCAGGTCGTTGCGGCTATCGACATTTGACAGAAGGCTGTGGGAATGAATCCAGTTAGTGGAGGGCCATCAGCTCACCCTCCACCATCGGATGCCCTATTTTAGCATCAACGATGCGCGTTGCATTCGCCAGGAAAATAAAATAGAAGAAGAAAAAAGGCCCTTTGGCCGCATCATGACGACACCGACGATGTGGATGGACGCTTCTGAATTAGTGCTAGCGCTGGCTCGCAGGCTGGATTCGAGTTCGATGGGCTATTTCCGGTCTAACAGCGCGTGCTGCCAGAATTGTTGCTGTGCTGGATTGTACAGTGTAGGTGCTCGTGCTGTAGCGAAATGGAAATTTCGCTAGCCCGCGCTGGACGCAGAAAATTGGCGCCTGCGCATAGATCGGCCGCTTGATCGCAGGCTGATGAGCGGCCAGCCCAAGAAAAACCACTCAGTGGCTCTTCATTTGCGGAACCCCCCTAAGACCAGCGCCCACACCCCCCAAAGGGCGCCCAAAGGGCGCCCACCCATCGCTGCACTGTGACTGTGTGGTGCTCAGGTGCCTTGTGCTCTGTGCTTGTGCAGCCCACTGTGCGCGAGCCCCGTGCCTCTGTCGGCGCGGCTGCAGCGCCCGCACACTGTGCCCGACCCCCCCCGCTGCGCGTTGTTTCTAGTCCAGGTGCGCTTTGCAGCCGTCCAGAAGCGGCACGAGGCCCTCAAACAGGACGGCCTCGGCGCGTGCGGACTCTGCCCTCGGCACTGTATGGGCTGCAGGTTTTGCTGTTGCTCTCTGGGGCCCTGATTTCTCATCGCCGGCTACTCTGCGCTACTGTAGATATTCCGTTCCCCAAATCCCGATGTACTCCGTATGAGCAGCAGCGTCTGATGCTTCGGTGCTAGTGTGCAGTGGCGGCAGATCAATTAATTATCCCTCACCTTTTTCGCTTCGCTGCCTTCTCTTCGCCGACGCTCGAACTGGTTCTTCCCGCCCGCGCCTGTTCTTTTTCTTCTTGAGTTGTTCCTTTTGCTGCTACGCGTGTGTGGCGCTCGTCTCGCTTCTTTTCCCTCGCTGCTCCCACCCCCCAGCTCTCATCTCCAGCTCTCTCTCCTCCAGCACAGCACTTGATACAGGCGCGAACAGCGGCACGCAGCGCTCATCACACACAGCGTCTGCATTGCATGTCTGAGACCTCGGCCGCCTCGATATCCAAATCCAACATCTCCCAAGCATCGGAGATCCCTGCATTGGCGTCTACACACACCCCCTACCGACCTCCCGGCGTTCTGTCGTGTCAGGTCCGCCACGCCACATCTGGAACGGACGTCATCCGGAATCTGCCAAGAAGCCTCCTCTGCTCGATAATCACACCCCCCTCTGGACCCTTTTTTCTTCTTCTTTATTCCAGCCTGCGTTGATTCGTCCTGCGAGTGTGCCCCCCCAGATCACCAGAGAGCGTTGCTAAAAGTGGACTGGGCCTGCCACCCGCTTCTTCGCATTCACTCTTATACCACACTCGCGGGCCCCAAAAGCCCTTTTTTAGTCTTTTTCACGTCCACGTCCACGTCCACTGCCTCGATACTCGACTCTTTGGATATTGAATATGTTGGCTTTGATGTTATAGCATCGCGGTCCTCAGGGACAATTTTTTGAAGAGACCTTGTTCTCACGAGCTGGAAGCCTTGTGTCGGCTTACACGCTTCGCCTTGCTACGACACAAATCCTTCATACGCCCCTCCAGAGTTGAAGACGACGACGCCTTACACTCGCCTCTCAGTGTCTCTTGAACTTTTGGATTAATACCAAAACGGGACATTTGACGAAAGTCCTTGTTGTCATTGCTGGACCTCTTTCTCTCGATCTCGACATCGAATCATCAACTCGCCTACTATAATTCACTCACACAATATACATCTTCAGCCTCACAACAACAGCGACCATGGCAACTCTTCCAACTTCACATCACCTCGAGTGGGCGACGCAAGGGTCAGATCTCATTGAGGACCCCGACGAACCGCCAGAAACTCAGCTGTATATGCCTATACCCACCAAGGCTCTTCCGTTCCAGAGAGCGCCGATTCGTCAACAGCAGGTTGCGTCTTCGCTGCTGACTCAGGCCATCATGGGACAATCAGACGAAGAGGATGCTCACGTCTTCCACCCGTCCAAATCCTACAGCCAACGCCGCCGTTCCATGGTCAGCAATGCCAGTATTGCTTCCACCGCCGATTTGACCAGTGACACTGGTCTTACCAGTCCCTCTCGAACAAACACCCCCAGTCCGCCTCTCCCCAACCTGTCGATGCTTCGTCTCCACGGTGCCGGCGAGCAGAAGAGCGGCCTCTTTGGCAACTTCTTCGGCACTAGACGAGTAATTGAAGAGCCTGTCAAGGAAGCTCCTCGAAAGCGATGCATCCAATTTGCTTGTGCCGCTAAGCCTCAAGCTCAGCCACAAGCTGCTCCTGCAGCAGCCGCTCCTCCTGCTCTCATGCTCAAGACGCCTGTGGCAAAAGATGATGCACCAAAGCGAACTTGCATCAAATTCGCATGCACGGCCCGCCCATCGTCTTCGCACAACACTTCTCCCAAGCCTTTTGAGCCCTCTACTCCTAAGAGGAGCATGACACATCCTGTCCCCATCTCTCCTCGACCAGCCCCTGCTGAAGCAGAGTGCTGCAAGGCCTCCCTCGTTCGACCTCGATTTATTCGTGCTTCTTCCACGGATCTCATCAAGGATGGCTCCCAGTTCCACGAGTTCGCCAGTGGCATGGCTCGCGAGGATGACTGGATTCGCCAAGAGAACTCCACTCAGACCAAGCTTACTATTTCCGACATCCTGGTCAAGGAAAACTTGATTCGCCGCCTGGGAGCTGAAGCTGAGGAGGAAGCCGAACAGGAAGAGGCGGAAGAGGATGAGGCTGAGACAGCCATGGATGAGGATGATGAAGACGAGGACGAGGATGACGAAGCCGATGAACTTGATGACCTAGACTTGGATGAGGACGACGAGGAAGATGAGGATGAGGATGAGGACGAAGAGGACGACGGCTCTGATGGTTATCACACCGACGAGGAGACTGGCTTCGCTGATTCCGACGAGGAGGACGACGATGACGAGAACATGATGATGTGGACTCCTCGAGTTCCATTCATCCCACGCCAGGTCACTCCTCGCTTGGCTCGCCGACTCTCCATCAACGACCAGCAGTCGGATGACTCCATCGGCTCCCGACGCAGCCGTCGCCGTGCTTCCAAGGCTCGACCCATTGGACCTCAAACCGAGGCACCTGACTTGCCTGACAGCACTGACTTTGTGTGCGGCACTTTGGATGAGGATCGACCCGTCGAGGATGCTTACCTGTCTTGCCTCGCTGCCCGCAGAAACGAGAAGCTTCGCATCATTCCTCAGGACATTGACCCTAGCTTCCCGGCTTCGGACCTTGACGAGGAAGATGAGGAGGATATCTATGTGGATGCTTCCGAGAGCGATGGCCACGCGTGGGTGCAGGGGGTCATGGAGGATCTCGGCAGCGAGACCGACCGTGCCCGGAGAATGCGCAAGAATGGCAACACATCTCCCCGTCGTCTCCGCTCTCCACCCCCTAAGCGACGCGGCTCTCCCGCTCCCAAGCCTCGTGCTCGATCTCCCGCCCCCAAGCCTCGTGCGCGCTCCCCTGCTCCCAAGCCTCGCGCTCGCTCCCCCAAGCCTCTTTTTGACCGCCAGTCGCCTCGACGACTTCGCTCCCCGGCTCCCAAGGCTGTGGCCATCGCAACCCCGATCCAGACTCCCAGACAGGGTGCACACGCCAATTTCCAGCTGGCCGGTCGCCCTGGTCTTACCCACACAAAGTCCCTGCCCAGACCTGCGGCTATGTTCCGTCACCAGAAGCAGTCCAAGGGCTCAAAGACCTCATCCGACACTGATGCCCACATTCGTAGCGCCATCGATATTGTCAAGGGTCTTGAGAAGAAGCGTTTGCGCCGCAAGGAAAAATTCTTCCAGAAGTACTGTGATCGTGCTAGACGCGGACAGATCCCTGAGCGCAAAACAATGCTTCCTGGTCTTGGTGCCGAGCGCATGCGAGAGCTCGGTCTGCTCATGGCCGGTAAGAAGGGTCCAGACTACGTCCTCTCTTGCTGAGCAAAAAATTCTTTCCTTCATTTTCAACGCATGGAAATGACATACACATAGAAGAGGAGTTTTGAGCATTCTGATAGGAATGGGTTCCACAGTCCCATCGTTTGTTGGGCGGCGTTTTTTACAATACCGTTTACGCACTCGCTTTCATACAAGTCCTATATACCCAAGTTGTTTTAACAACCTTCCTTACTTTCACTTGATTATTTCCTTTAATTTTTCTTTCTCACGATTTTATGACTTATATAATTGCGTGATCTTTCATCTTTCGGAGATGGCTCTGGATGAATAGAGAGACTCCTGTATATACTGAAAAACAGTACACATCATCTGTGGCTACAGTGGGATACCCATACCTGGGGGAGGCTTTTTGTCCTTTTTTTATATCTGTCTGCTTTTAGGATACACCCAAGAGGCCGCATTTCGGAATGCGGACCTCTCAGTTGGCGTTGGTCGGCAAGACGCTTCCTTGTGAGAGAAGCCGTCGGTTGATATTACTAGATAGTAATACTGCAGCGAGATTCCAAGACTCAAACTTTATCTGCTCTATACTTTTGAAATGTGACATGTGTTGTGTGGAGAAATTGCTTACTACTTTGATGCCACGTAATCCTTCTTGAACGTGCCAGAGCTACCGTCTGCTGTCTCTACTAGATACTGTCGATTTTCGTAGTGCGGCCAACTTTTTTCGATTCCAACATCTTTTGGCGATATCACATGACAGCATCTTCAAGTCACGCCATGACAACCACGATACTCTCTTGTTTCTCCTGTTTCGCCATCAATTTTCGTAATGGCAGCTGATCAAAGACCACTAAATCACTGCAGACGCCTACCTGCAACTTTGACTTTGCCCAATTGTCAAGGGCGCACCTTCGCCACATGATTTCCGCTCATGTACCTATTTTTTGGTGCCTGAGCAACAAGGCATGTCACGTGTCTCGATGGCCCGCCCAAAATAACAAGGCGGTAAAGCAGCATCGGTTGATTGTCCTTTCCCGGACCCGATCTAGCTCGCATCGACCATCGTCACAACAACTTTCCTTCTGCTCTGCGAACTTCAGCCGAGTAGCCCCATCGCATCTTTCTTTCTTATACCCTTTGCCTTTTTCCACTCTTCCTTTTTCTCTTTTCCATTTGGCACTTCAAATTGTGGATTAAGAAATACAAGATACTAAATCGCCCAACATGTGGATTGTTAACTGGTGTATGTATTCTATTCTATTCCATTCGCCCCCCCTCCGTCAGCGCAGTCTAATCGCTTTCGACAACCGCCACCTTTTTTGCCCGCATACATGCGCGATTGCGTTACAGCGATGGTAGAGATAGAGGCTGACTTTTTTTCTCCTTGTTTCTTGAACTTTAGTCTACGATGTGCTGTCCTCCTTGGGGCTGCTCAACAAGCACGCCAAGCTGCTCTTCCTGGGCCTCGACAATGCCGGAAAGACCACGTTGCTTCACATGCTGAAGGTACGTCGCCGATAAGAATGACAAGGGGGCTTGAGACAGGGGGGATGGATAGGAACGGACGATCACTGCAGCTTTTCTACAGTGGATAGGCTGTTGCGCATGCGATCGATTATGACGATGCAGGACATCCATTAAAACGGGCTATATGCGAAATGATGATGTTCTAACATGATGGGATTGCTATAGAACGACCGAGTTGCTATCCTGCAACCTACTCTTCACCCTAGTAAGACTGCCGCCCATTGCCATCGCGAAATATGAACCGACGGCCTTCTCTACTTGCTCCCTTTTTCTTTCTTGAAGAAGCCTCTTTTCTGACTGATTATTTAGCTTCTGAGGAGCTTGCCATTGGCAACGTTCGATTCAACACTTTTGATCTGGGTGGTCACCAGCAGGGTATGTTTATTGAATTTACAATCCCTTCCCCTTTCTCCAAACCTTGAACTCTACGCAGTGTAAAAATTTCTATGTGCTTACCATATCTCCACCATCTCTAGCCCGTCGTATCTGGAGAGATTATTTCCCCGACGTCAACGGTGTCGTCTTCCTTGTCGACGCCAAGGACCACGAGCGATTCCCCGAGGCCAAGGCCGAGCTCGACGCCCTCCTGTCCATGGAGGAGCTTTCCAAGGTTCCCTTTGTCATTCTGGGTAACAAGATCGACCACCCCGACGCCATTTCTGAGGATGAGCTGAGACACCAGCTGGGCCTGTACCAGACGACCGGAAAGGGCAAGATGCAGCTGGAGGGCATCCGACCGATCGAGCTGTTCATGTGCTCCGTGGTGATGCGACAGGGATACGGCGACGGTATCAGGTGGCTGTCTCAATACGTTTAAGTAAGAGAAGCGAGGAGTGTGTACGCCGTGGGAAGAAAGAACGCTATGCTGGGAAGGATATGAGGTCACGATCTATATGTAGTGACTCCCGGTGATGACACGATTACTAAGAAGGCAGAGGAGAAGAGGCGTTGGGCCATGAAGAGTTATTTTATGAGACTCAGCATACTCTATTTTTAGGCGAAACCTTTTTTTATTTTGTTTTGGTTGTGAAATTTAAATTTCTATTGCTGATCTCGTGCTGAGTCTTTGTTTTATTTTCTCATTTCCTTTCCTTTCTTTTTCTTTCCTGCTGCTGCTGCTGCTCCTAAAGTGTATGACTATTGATGGCAGGATAGTGCTCTCTATACGTAATGGATGTTGTGAATGGATGTTGGGAGATGCTGGCATCGTCATGGTGTATTAATCAACGGCAATGTCTTTGTTTTCAGTCAATCTAGCTATCTAGTATCAAGCCAATCTCAATTCGACTCATGCTCCAGTAATGCTAATAGACCCAGTGCCATGGATACATGGAAAGAAGTGCCCCAAATAAGAAAACAGACCCCAGCAGCCAACGCTCTTATATCGACTAACGCGTACGCTCTTGTCTCTATTCAAAAAAAGAAGAAAAAGGGATAAAAATACAACCAAGAGTAAAGTCAGGATATAAAAAAAACAAGACAAAACAAGAGAAGATAACATTGAGTTTTGCCAACATGCTAAAAACAACAGCTGTAGAAGAAAAAAAGGTAGTGAACAGTCATAAATAATGCTGATGCTGATAGATGTTTGCTTCAGAATTCATTAATAAAGCCAGATGAAAGGAAGAGCAAAAAATGAAGAAAAAGAAAAGGTAAGCTTCGCATGCTCTTTGGGAAAGAAGGAGAAGAAGAAGAAAAAATTAAGCAGGTTCCTCCTTTTACTTCATGTATGTCGTAGAAAAAAAAGAGATGGCTTCGTCAGAAAACGAGAAGTGAGAATATTATAAATAAGGGCACTATATTTTTCTTGCTTTTCTTCTCTCTCTTTCATCTTGCCAATCAGAACGCAAAAAAAGGGGTATATGCATAGGGCGTGTTTGCGTATGGGCTGTTGTTTGCTATTCGGCAATAGCATAGCGGGTAAAATCGCATCTTTGGATAACGAATAAATAAAAAAGCGTAGAATGCAATGCAATGTAGCGTAGATTATGTTTCTGCCTCCACTTCTGCTTCTTCCTCTTCCTCGTCGTATTCTCCTTCTTCTCTTTCTGCTGTAGGGGTATCAAATGTTTTTAACCAATCGTTTGCGTATAAGAGGTGTTCCCTCATACTCGATATCATGAGATGCAGTTCATTCTTCAAGTCTTCCTGGGAACCCAGCCCCTGCAGGACGTTTGGTGAGGGAGCACCAGGAAGGGGTGGCATGGAGCTCATGAGGGAGTTTCGAGCGCTCGTCATGATTCCCAGGCCAGACGGCTCCCACGCGAGATTTGATCTCTCGTCAGGGGTCGTGGGAGTGCTTTGCAGGTCGCTCGGCTGGCGCGTGAGAGAAGGAACCGATTCCATATCATCATCAATATATAGTGAGGGTTCTCTCGTGTTGATGTCTGCGTCTCCAGTGTCCGCTTCCAGCTCTAGGTCGAACGCCAGCGATCCGTGGACTGAACCAGATGAACGATTGTGAGAGCTTGGCACGAACGAGTCGGGACCACTATAGCTGATGTCATCCGTCAGAGAAGCGTCAAGATCAATGAGACTCATGGCCGATTCACGATTGGCCGCGGAATTCATATCGTCGTCTTGATGGACTATAGTTGGATAGTCCTCATTATCGCTAAACATGTCTGGATTAGGGGTAGAAGTAGCCGTGGTGGGCGTCATGGCAGGGAAAGTCCACTCCGTGGTGTCACGTTTACTCGTTGGAAATGACCACTCTTGGGTGTTTCGCTTCTCCTCTGTAGGGAAACTCCACTCCTGAGTATTTCGTTTCTCAGTGGTCGGGAACTTCCACTCCGTCGTCTCACGCTTGTTCGAAGGAAACGTCCACTCCTGCGTATCTCGTTTATCTGCCGTCGAGAATGACCATTCTTGAGTGGCGCGCTTGGTTGGAAAGTTCCAATCCTGGGTCTTTCGTCGCTCATCAGCGGATCCGCTGAGATCGATTGAGATGGGCCGCGCAGCTGGCTTGATAGTCTCCTCTTCAAGGCTAGGCAAAAAGGGAGTGTCCATTTCATCCATCGCAAGATCAAGATCAATCAATGATTCGCGAGCTGCTGCTGGTGGTTCCGGGTTGGAATTTGGAGTGGTACTCCGGTTGGAGTTGGGGTTTGAAGTTGGATTCGAAGTAGGGGGCTTTGGTTTCCTCTGTGTTGGCGGTGCCGAAGTTGGAGGCGGCATTGGTATCCTGCCATACCAGGCCCTCGAGTTCTCTCCATAGTTGGTGATGGTGTAAGGGTCAAAGACTTTCTCTAGAGGAGCCTTGAGCTCCTTCATGGTCGGGGGCGGTCGCCTACGACGACCACGCTGCATTGGCCGTGCCGTCCGTTCAGGTTCAGGGCTAGAAGCAACGCTGGGGTAGTAGTCAGGAGTAGGCACACGCGGTTTCGCAGTGTTTTGGAACATGAGCTCGTCCACCTCATCGAAATTCCCAAAGTCCCATCCGCTTTGACGCACGGGCGACCGATCCATTCGAGGTCCCTGGGCGCCACCAGCCGAGAACAGCGACTGTCTGCTCCCCCCCTGCGATTCCCAGTACTTGTAATCAGCCACCAGCCTCGACAGGGAGACAGTTGGATATCTGTCCTGCGTATTGAAGATGTACGGGTGTCGTTGGATCTCCTCGATGGGCGGCCGGCGCTTGGGATCTTCGACCAGACAAAAGGCGATGAGGTTCTTGAGGTTTTCGGAGAATCGGTCGCCCTGCAGACGAGGCTGGTGCTGCTTCAGATAGGCGCCAAACTGCTGGATGTTGATCCGGGCGGTGGCGTTTGGCGGCAGGCCGTTGGCGATCTCGTAGGCCATGGACCCGAACGCCCAGATGTCGACCTCGATGCCGTAGGCGACGTGGGGGTCGAAGAGCTCGGGGGCCATCCAGTGCAGCGTGCCGGTGATGGTGCTGCGCTTGTCGAACTTGGTCTCCATGATGCCGGCGACGCCAAAGTCGCACAGCTGCACGCCGCCAGCCTCGGTGATGAGCACGTTGGCGCACTTGATGTCGCGGTGGATGATGCCCTGCTTGTGCACCCAGAACAGCGCCTCGGCCACCTCACGCAGAATCGGCACGATCCAGCGCTCGGCCAGGCCGCTCGTGGGCCGCATCAGCGACGCGACGCTGCCGCCGGCGCAGTACTCGGTCACCATCCACACCGACTGGCCGACCAGGTGCGTGTCCAGCACGGCGTTGACGTTGCGCGCGCCCGTGTTGCTCAGCAGCTTCAGCGTGTTGACCTCCTTGATGATGTCGCCCAGCGTGTCGGCCGCGCCCGGCTGGATGCCGTCGCCCTCCTCGATGCTGATGACCTTGACCGACACCAGCTGGCTGGCCTTTTGCTTGTTTGTGCTGCGCGCCTTGTACACGCGCCCGAAGCTGCCCTTGCCGATCAGCTCCAGCAGCTGGTACGGCGGCGCCTCTCGCTCGGCCGCGGCGCACTCGCGCAGCACCAGGGCCTGGGCGGCGCGCGCATCCTCGATGGCCTTGTGCTTGGTGGCCGAGATGCTGGGCGCCGACGTGAAGCCATTGCCGTTGGGGAGGCTGCCGGCCTTGAGGGGCGGGTAATGCATTGGTGATGTGATGCCGTCGCAGTCGTCGTCGTCGTCGCTATAGGGGGCTCGCCCGCATTCCCAGCGTCCTCGGTCCACTGGAGCCTAGCCCGCGTGCGCTGTAGCAAGTTGAGCTCACTGCACTGCGGCCAGAGCCACAGCGTGTCGGTCTAGCAGGATTAGCGAGTCTGAGACGCCCGTCAGGCGGGGGGAGCTAAGCAGGCTGCGCTTCCACCTGCCTCCCAGTCTCTCGCTTTGTGGTTTTCCTCGTGCTCTCGTGTTTCCAGTGTTGGCGGGTTTGAGTTTGCGGTGGACGCAGCAGCAGGTTTGAACGGAGGGAGAGGCCCCGAGGCGTGACAGATCTCGGAGGCTGCGCGCGGGACGAGATATTCCAGAAGCGAAGCGTTTCCCAGCACAGGGAACAAAAAAGCAAAGGGGAGAAGGATGGCGATATAACATGAAATGAGAAAAGAAACAGAAGGATACAGAAAATAAAACGAAAATGGAAAATGAAAATGAGAAACATCCATGGCAAATATAAAACAGCTCCGTACGCAGGCAGGAAAAAGCAGAAACGCACCCCTGGCTTATGCCACATAATGCTGTCAAATCAATAAGCATGTTGTAGCCCCTGGCCCGGCTTGGGGGGGCAAAAACCGCCCAAGGCCAGCCGCTAACCCTGAGGCTTTCACAAGGCTCCGCTAAGCTAGGCGTGGAACCCGAGGACCCTTTGGACGGCAAAGCCATGCACTTAATCTAATTTTTTTTTTTTGCACTATACCAGCTTGATAAACCCGTGCTCGTGGTTTTGTGGCTATCTCTTTTTGTCTTTTTTTCTCTCAGCCTTGCCCAGGGGTCTCGTGGTCTCTCAGCCTGGTCGACAGACGACGTCAGTGGTTTCATGGAGAGGCGTCGCACGGGAGCACATGCGCAAGTGCTGTGAAATCGCCTAGACCCCTCAAGGTGCACGTCTTGAGATACGATTTGAATCCCGTGAGCGGCCTTGGACCTAAGCCGTTGCCTCGTGCTGGGTTTTCTTTTCGAGCTATACTTGACGTACTGCTGCATTCTCGAGGGCGGTTTCTATTCTCTTCTCTTCTATAACTAACTCGCCCCGTGATACAAGTATATGCACATATATATCGTCCATATATAAAGCCCATCATGCTCAAAACGTCGGTGGCCATAGCCGCCATCAGCGCTGGAGGAGGCGCCGCTCTCACAGCCGCTCTCTACTCTCTCCGTCCAAAAGACAGAATCGCAGACATGGCCGCCTCCTCCTCCTCCTCCTCCTCCTCCTCCAGCTCTCTCGCTTCCACCGCCATCGTCTCTACCCCAACCGCCGTCACAGCCATCCCCGCCAACCAAGTCTTTGGCGGTAACCCCGGCGGCGCTCCTCACCCCATCGTCCCCGGCCCAGCAGCGCCCGTCAACCCCGGCGGCCTCTTCGAATACGGCTTCCCAGGCCCGGTCTCCGACATCGCGACCCGCGCCGCCCTCATCTCGAGCTACGACCGCCGCACGCGCAACCCGCACTGGGTCGTCGAGCACATCACGCCCGAGTCGCTCGCCACGCGCGGCGGCGACCGCAAGAACAGCGTCTTCCTCGAGGACGCCGGCGTGCCCGCAAAGTTCCGCGCCCTGCTCAAGGACTACTTCCGCAGCGGCTACGACAGAGGCCACCAGGTGCCCGCCGCCGACGCAAAGTGGTCGCAGGGCGCCATGGACGAGACCTTCTACCTCAGCAACATGTGCCCGCAGGTCGGCGAGGGCTTCAACCGCGACTACTGGGCGCACTTTGAGGACTTCTGCCGCCGCCTGACCCAGCGCTATCCCTCGGTGCGCATCGTCACGGGCCCGCTGTATCTGCCCAAGAAGGACCCCGTCGACAACAAGTGGTACGTCAAGTACGAGATGATTGGCACCCCGCCATCCGTCGCCGTGCCCACGCACTTTTACAAGGTCATCTTCGCCGAGGACGGCCGCGTGGGCGGCAACGTTGCCGTCGGCGCATTCGTCCTGCCAAACGCCCGCATCGACAACGCCAAGCCCATCACCGACTTCGAGGTGCCCCTCGAGGCTGTCGAGCGTGCCAGCGGCCTGGAGTTTGCGAACCTGCTGCCCATGCAGCGCAGGAGGAGGCTCTGCGCCGACACGACTTGCGCTTTGGTTATCAAGGATTACAGCGAGAGGCAAAAGACTTTTGCTAAGAGCGCTAAATGAGTGTCGGGGATTCGCTTATAGGGGGGAAGATTAAAGGAATGTTATCAATGATGAGATCAACGCCTTGGGGATGAGACTGAGTCACGAATGTTACGAAATACCCTCATTCACGTCTCTCTCTTTTGTCCTACCTCCACGAATGACGTTTGCTATTATCGATCAGCTTGCTTTTCCTTTCATCGGCAATTGCGTATCGCTATAGATTGAGAAGCCCAGCCATGATTTGCATTCCCATCACCACATCACCACAGTTACATAAATAGACAGCCAGCAACAGCAAGTGGCATCACATAGCACATCGTATATTAGAATAGCACATCAGATAGAAATCAGATATTCAAATTTCCCCATGACCAATCGCTGTATATACCCTTTTTGAAATCCTTCTTGTTAAAATGCTAGCGGAGTAAAAATAACGATTAGAGAGTTATGATCCACTGAAACGATCAATCTCTTCAACGAGCTCGATAAAAAGGTCTCCTTCATAATACAATCCCCAACCCATCAGAACGCCATAAAAGGAAGATATTGACCGACCAACCAACTAGCTTTCCCATAGATCGACAGTTACCGGGCGCGAGTATACTTTCCATGTCGTTGCTCTTGTCGAAGGCTCTCCTCTTGACTTGGGAGTGGTATGCGTCGACGGTCCGAGTCATTGGGATTCATCGGTGGAGGGATGGGAAGCGGAAAGTTGCCTGGCAGCGGGGGTATACCTCCAGGCGGTGGGATTAAACCCGGAGGAAGAGATCCTGGAGGTGGCATGGGCACACCGGCTTGCTGCATCAGCTCGAGCAGCTTCGCCGGGTCAGGAGGGTTATGGAGATCCAGACCGGGCAGTGGAGGCGGCGGTGCTCCATTAAAGCCCGGAATAGCGAAAGGGGGAGGCGGAGGCAGAGGCGGCGCGGCTGAGCCAGCACCAACTCCAGGCACAATTGGAGGCGGCAGGATGCTTGAGCCGAGACCAGGGACGGCACCGCCGCCCAAAGGTAGTCCGGGAATGCCACCAGTCAAGCCGGGAACAGTAGGCTTTTGCGCGTCTTGGTCGACCAGTGCGTCCATCTCGTCCTCCATCTCACGCTGCTCTTCCTCCTGTCGCTGGCGGCGATTGCCACGGCGGTCCCAGGTTCCTTGCGCCTCGGCAGCTGCTTCGCCAATATGATACCGGTCCTGGAAAATCTCCGTCTCGCCAGGTCGAGCACGGCCCCAGAATCGAGTGATACGATCATTTGACCCAGACGCGAGAATATGACCCTGGGGGTGCCAATCGAGAGACCAAATAGCATAATCATGAGCGAACGGAACCCTGTGCGTAGGCCATATTGACTGGGCAGGAGTTGATTCTGGGTCAAGGCTGTCATAAGGAGCGACAGTCAAAGGTTGGCCGGCCGGGGGGTTTGGCGTATCTAGCATGTAATGGAAGAGTGAACCGTCCATGCCACCCGTAGAGAGCAGATTAGCATGTATAGGATGGAACGTCAAGGTCGAAATGTCCTTTTCATGGCCCTTTAATAGCACAATGTCGCGCATCATTCGTAAGTCAAAGACACGAGCTGTCTGGTCTCGTGCTGAGGTGGCAAAACATCGACCGAGCTTTTTCTCAAACAGGACCTTGGTAATAGTGCTCTTATGACTATGGAGAGTAGTCAGTGCTCGCGCAGTACGAGGATCCCAAAGCTTGACCAGGTGATCCTTGGATCCGGAAATGATTAATCCTTTAGTAGGGTGCCAGTCCACAGACTTGGCATCCCAACCGTGGCCTTCAAGCTTGAGCTCTTCCTGGCCAAGAGCAAAGTCGAAGATCTTGAGAGTGGAGTCGTCCGAGGCAGTGACAAACTTGGAGTCGTTGGGGCTGAATGCAAGGTCCCGGATGGGATCTGTATGAGCATTGATACTCTTGACGTTGTTAAAATTTGGCTGCCAGTACTTGATGACTCCATCATGGTCACCCGAGATCAACCAGTCGTCGCTATGTGAGTATTCCAGGGCTCGGATGGCAGAGTCGTGAGCCTGCATGATAGTCTCAAAATTGAAGCCGGTGCCGTTCCAGAGAGTGAACTCGCCGCTAGTCGAAGCCGTGAGCAGTCTGCGTCCCTCTGGGGTCCATCGGACGACATTGATAGGGTGTTTGATCTTGTTCAGAGAAGAATGGAGATGCTTGGCCGGGATAGAATCAGCTGGAAACACTGGCCGTCCTGCTGGTGGAATCATCTCCAGGGGCGTTAGTTTTATTCTTTGTAGGCATCTTTGGCATGTTTCTTGCTTCTCACATCCACAATGTAGCTTGCGCTTGGACGCTCCCTCTCACCCGTGTAGCCGCCTCTGTAGTTGGGGGCGCGGTCTCGCATCCAATGGAGGACGCTGGCACTATAGTCCGTCACAGGTCCTGTTGGCAATGCAATTAGCCCATTGAATGAGACGGTTTTCTTTCTTATCCGCTTTCAGATACCCTTCTTTTTGTCGTACATGGTTCTGGCGTACATGATTCAGCCGAGGTGAGCTCGCAGCTGTCTCTAGACATGAAATTATGGGAATGTAGATATCTCGACAGGACACTTGCCCAAGCAGGTTTATGAGTCAAACGATTATGCTATACAAGCGTGGGGACAATGCAAGGAAAGAACTATTCAATGATATCAAGTGCCGTGGGCAATTGCTGCCTTGAAGCGTAGTTTCAGGTCGAGCAGTGGATGCCGAAAATAGACGGGCAGGCTCCTCTAGCGGTAAAAAGACAGAGAGTGGGAATAGAATTACACAAGTAGAGCAAAAGTAGACTCACTTCGACCTCGTACTTTCATATATGCGCCATCTTGCCCACCACCTCCCCGATCGCCATAGTCTCCACGAGGCTCATAGGCCATCGTCGCGTTTCGACCGTCAATTGATGATCATACACCGTGATGAGTGTTAAAAAGACGAGATTGAGCGCAAAATTCGAGTATAGATTAATAGACGTGAGAAGTAAATGGATGCTTAGTCAAGATCAACCAAGCCTTATTGAAGAGTTTGTAGAGCTGCCAGTGAAGATGAAAGTCTCATTCTGAGAGGCTCGCGCTTTGAGAGCTCTGATAGAGCGCTGGCGAAACGCAGGCTTTGATTGGGTGCAGGTCATGTGATGCATAGAAAGTGATGTCTTAGTCAGCAATCCTCGAACTCACCAACACACGCATATTGCATCTGAGAGCCGCAGAGTACCGTCTCACATCAAGTCGTATAACGTCGCTAGTTCTTCCTCTTACTGAGTTCCACAAAAACCTGTTTCCTGCTAGCTGTTATATCAAAAGTAACCTCTTCATGTCTTGCTGCTGATGCCTCACAAGAAAGGAACACGTTTTCTGTGGTGCATTGGTAGCTTCAGAATCTGGCCTATCAGATTTCAGCTGCATCGTAATCTGCTAGAGCCCAGCGCCTCTTCCCGCTCTGCTGGAGCATAAAGTTTGTATAAAAAACCGCTCCTCATCTTCTTGCATGTAAAATGAGTCGTGGCATCGTGAACCTGAGGCTCCATATGATGCCTTATGGGGCCTGCTTGGCTCGACTAATTATATCATGCAACCCCTTCTGCCCTTGGCAGTCTGCAGTTTTCACATGCTTTTTTCTCTCTCTTTTGCTCTCACAGCAACTGCAATCTGCTGCTAATTTAAGGCAAAGAGGCCAGTTCAAGCTCCTGCGCCCCACCCAGCTCGGAGCCAGCTCTCCACACCCGCTATTTTCCGCCTATGCCGCCACTGGTCATTTTTTGTTGGCGATTTAAGGCACGGCCAGCACACGATTGCAGTGAGAGAGAGGCCAGGTACCTCGTTATATAGCACGGCTCTTGACAATACATATGTCACTTCGGATTTTTGCTTTTGGCACATGGTGAATCTGCTTTGGGTCTGGTTCCATTTCCATCGTCACCCTTACATGAGATAGGGATCCTGACTCTGTCACGTCTTAATTTCGGTCGACGCCGATAACGTTGGATATGCTCCGAGGCTTATGAGGCAATTTGCGGGCCGCTCGCTGCTAAAGTACACATAAGTAGGGGATTTTTTAGTGACTGGAATTAAGGCGAGTCGAAGGCAAACTCAATGTTAGTCTAAGCCCCTCCATCCTGGCCTGGAGCTCGATCGATCGGTACCTCGCGTCGCCCGCTGCCGTCCAATTCACCTCTTTCATCATACCTATCTTGAATTACAACTGCAAAATACCCTTTATAGAGTGCGTGCCAGGGCCCGAGGATGGCGTCTCCTGCAGAATCCTCAACAACGACAAGCGTCGAGGCCTCTGTCGGCTCAGTATCTCGACGCAATGCCTCCACAGACGGCAAAGCAGATCTAACCTCAGTGGAGCCTCCCAATGGGACTACCAAGGAACGGCTGTCCAAGACGCTGCAGAAGAAGTATCGCCATGTCGCGGCAGTGCATTCTCAGACGAGGCCGTCGTGCTTGAGCCACGATTCTACTGCGGCGCCCAGCTTTCTGGGATTCCGCAATCTCATGGTCATTGTGCTGGGTATGTGCTCTCCCGATGGGAAGATTTGCCATGACGATATCTCTCTAACAGATCATTAGTGGTTGGCAATCTCAGATTGATGATTGAGAATATCCAAAAGGTGCGTTGAGGCGTCACCTGGATCTATAGCGAAGTGACATGGCATTAACATTCTAGCTTTGGTGTAGTACGGCGTCTTGATTTGTATTAGATGTCACGACTATAGGCGGCAAGACTTGCTCCTTGGTCTTTTACTCTACTTTCTCATTCCTTGTCACCTCTTTGCAGCATACGTCATTGAGCTCGTTGCCGCCAAGCAGGCCGAGGGATCAAGAAAACGAATCAAGGACAACAGCTCCGGTCCGTCAGAAGCAGAGCGGAAGAAGTTTCACTCCATCTGGGTTCTCGCGGCGCTGGCTCATGGCATCAACATCACTCTTGCTCTCGCCATCACCACCGTTATGGTCTACTTTTATGTCTACCACCCATTGATTGGCACGTTGACGGAGATGCATGCCATTGTTGTGTGGCTCAAGACGGCCTCGTATGCATTTACCAATCGAGATCTCCGCCATGCCTATTTGCATCCGGTGGAAGGAGAAGAAGTGCCCGACTTATACAAGACATGCCCATACCCGCAAAATGTGACAATGAAGAACTTGGTCTACTTCTGGTGGGCTCCAACTCTGGTATACCAGCCCGTCTATCCGCGCACCGACAAGATTCGATGGGTCTTTGTGGCCAAGCGACTTGGAGAGATTTTCTGCCTTGGCGTGTTCATCTGGGTAGCCAGCGCTCAGTATGCGACCCCTGTGTTGCGCAACTCTTTAGACAAAATTGCATCGCTCGACTTATTCTCCATCTTGGAACGACTTATGAAGCTCTCAACCATCTCTCTGGTTATCTGGCTGGCGGGATTCTTTGCCCTCTTCCAGTCCTTCTTGAACGCTCTGGCAGAGATTACGCGATTTGGCGATAGATCATTTTACGACGACTGGTGGAATAGCGAAAGCTTGGGTGCTTATTGGAGGACTTGGAACAAGCCTGTCTACACATATTTCAAGCGTCATGTCTATATGCCCATGATTGGACGAGGCTGGAGCCCTGCCGCTGCCAGTTTTGCTGTCTTCTTCGTTTCGGCCGTGCTTCATGAGATTGCTGTTGGTGTGCCAACTCACAACATCATTGGTATGTCCTGATCCTCCGAAAGAGTGTCAACTCAAACTAACCATTACGTTAAGGTGTCGCTTTCTTTGGCATGTTCCTTCAGCTTCCTCTTATTGCCATTACCACTCCTCTCGAGAAAATGAAACTCGGCCACGGTGGCCGCATTCTGGGAAACGTCATCTTCTGGGTCTCATTCACAATCTTTGGGCAGCCATTCGCCGCTCTCATGTATTTTTACGCCTGGCAGGCCAAGTATGGCAGTGTGAGCAAGATGCCCCAAATGACACATCACTAGTGAGCGATTTCGGAAACATATATATAGCTGTCTGATTTATTTGTATGGGCGATGTGTATGGGAGTTTAATGAGAGCAGTCTAAGAAAAACGATACATTATGAGGTAGATATGATGACAATACAATTTGGGCGAATATTCTAAGATTACGTACATTATGATAGCCACTAGCTTTGCCACGTTGTAAATTTTTACCACGTCAATCAGTCTCAATCGTTGAAATACACGATGTTATTCGATTCTCCACTACCTAGCCAATTGTAGTCCTACCCTATGAATGGTAGCAGAGTGCCTACTCTCTTCCTATAACTGACATAGTCATCCCCAAAAAACTGCACCAGCTTCTCTTCCTCCACCTTGACCCTGTTCTGGAAGAATTGGAATAGCACAGCCGAATAGAACACAAAGCAGATTGTATTCCCCAACACAAGTTGCGTCCCTAAGCCCCAGTAAAAGAACCCAAAATAGCTCGGATGCCGCAGCCATCCGTAGATGCCAGTCGTCACGAGGAGATGCGATTGCGCCCTTCTCGTCTGAATTTTATGGTTGAAGCTAGCTCCAGCATGTAGCATTGCTATAGAACGAACAGCCTGGCCGACAGTGACTAGGAAAAGGCCGGCGACAAGAAGCAGGCGGCCGGAATTGAAAGGCGCCCAGTGGCGGTTGGGGAAAAAGACGGTCACAACGATGCACTCTATGAAGGCGGCTGAGTGGGCGATTGCGTAAGCCGGCCAGTTTGCCGTCAGGAGGAAGCTGTCGACGGCGGCCACGGTGGTGTTCCTCTCGGCCGTGGTCCAGAATTCGAGAAAATGGAACGTAGATAGAGACAGGAGGAAGAAAGGGACGCGCCACATGGGGCTGTTGGTGAAGTATAGGATGGAGACGATGCCGATGATGCTTGCGGAGAAGGCCATGCCTAGGCAGAACGCGCGGAGAGCGATCCCGGAGAGCGACTTGGGCTGTCCGGGATAGAATGGCTTAAGAGGATTCTCGGGTTCGCGCAAAATCGGAGAGTCGCGGGGGGTGAGCCCGTGATGGTCGGGCTGAGGCTCGAATGAGTTTGCCATGGTGGATGAGATGACGGTGTTTCAAGATTGCCGGTGACAGATAAAGCCCCTCTTTGATAATAAGAGTTGATGTGACCGCGCAGCCAGTATATACGTGTCTATATCATCATCTCCCTCGTGATGCTGAATTTCTGTCGTGATGCTTGGGCATCGGCTTTGGTGTTTTGTGTTTTGTGTTCAAAAAAGCTGCACGTGGCACACGCTCACGGTATTAGGAGGCGTAAGCTCGGCTAGGGAAGGGGCAAGGCTTTCTCTGCCCAGTAATATATAAAGAGAGTAAACACGATAAAAGAGAGTGAGAGATGTCGCGTCTATGAACTTTTGCTGTTTTTCGCGGATTGTCATCTGGTGGACAATTGTGTAGAAAGTACTTGCAGTGGAGTATCAGGAATTTGGTCCGAGATGGTGGTTCAGGGGGCGCGGCTTTGGGGCTAAATAGCGGCCAGAGCACCTTTTAGCAGCTACTCTAGGTGGCAACACAATACTACAGACAATCACGTTTCCAAAGACCCGAGACGCGCTTTGACAGTCTGCAATTTCTTTGTTTTCTTTCTTGTTTTGGCTCAAGAATTTTAAAAGTCTAGATTGCAATAGTGTCGCCCACTGAGGCCTTCAAGCAACACGGAGGTATACCGTCTCGTTTCGCAGCAACCCCTAGTGAATCTTCATCCTCATCTGAGATCCATATCACCAAAGGTTTCAGTATCCGGTCTGCACAATCGCAGACGCTATCTGAAAATGCCATACGCTTTCCATGGAGCTGGATATGCCGGTGGCGCCCAGTCTCAGCTTTGTTGTTTGCTGACCCATGCCCGCTATTCGAAACGGAGGTTGTAGTCCGCGCGCCTGATCTGGTGGTGCGATGTGCATAGCATCTTACCTCTGATGACACTCTGTATTTCATCGTCATATCGTAGCTAGCTTGTTGGATCTCAATCATAGTCGCAACAAATCTAGCAATGATCCGGCGTCGCCGTGTTTCGCTGCATAGCTTTCATTGTATCCTAAATCTGTGTATTGGATATGGTGTAGATCCTCGGCGTATGTTGAAGCATACTAAGGCATCCAGCTGCAATCGTGTGCCTGTCGCATCATAGTCCGCCTTGAATCGAAAAGGAAGAGATAATCAGCGTCAGAACATTGATAAACCCCCATGTGCAGGGGATCCAGGTGTTCATCTCGTAGTATCCCGCCTGGTAAACGGCGCCAAGCCTGCTCCAACAGTCAGCACACATCTCCGCCTTGTACATCCCTTTCAAAACTGACATGACCCCAACGATGGTTCCAGAGAGCAGAGCCTCAAGCCCGGCGACCCCCAAGTAGATGATCGGCGTCAACCAGAGATACTTCCACGATGACTTCTTCCACCCGTGCGTGAACAGCGCGATGAACACGGCGCCAAGGTGGAAGAGCGCAAAGGTGATGAGTGTCCATATGACCGTGAAGCGCCAAACATCGCCAATGTAGTAGAGCGTATATCGTTTGTCGGGCGTGGAGTCGAAGAGGGTATTGACGTTGAGCGACGGGAAACGAGGAGTGGTGTAGTTTCTGGGAGGGATCAGGCGCCGAGCCATCTGCGCGACCGCGTTGGTTTGCTGCTCGCTATAGCTGCTGTTAGTCGAGATCTAGGATGGCACTTGGCAGAAAAGGCATCTTCACCTCTCGAAATCTCCCTTTTCTCCCGCATTGGGAAAGTTGCCGGTGACGGTATCGCTCGTTGGCTGAGACAAAGACGAGAGGCTGTCCTAGCTAGAGCTACAAGTCGCTAAAGAAACGGCAATTTTAGTGGAGCTCAGCACGGCTTCAGTGACGTCCCTGCGAGTTACCAGAGCCTCGGCAACGGGCCTGCGCTAAGTCATCAGCCGCCTAATAATATGCGATCGCGTCGACGTCTCGCCTTCAGCCAACAGCTTCCTGACACCACCTTGAACAGCGCATTCGCATCGTAGCCACGGCGCAGCAAATGCAGCACGATGCCTGCCGATCAGCTCCTCAATACGGTCCTGCACCACTTCCAGGACCTCCACGATGCGAAAAAGACGGAGCAGATCATCGGCACGACCGCTCACCTTCTCTCGCAGCTCTCCAACCCTCTTAACCTCGGCGTTCTCACATCGCAGCTGCTGACGGCTCCCGCCATTTGGGAGAGGCACGATGGGCTGCGTACGGCCGTCCGGATCATCAGCATATACAATACCGCAGCGATTCGCGTGCGCGACCTCGAGATAGAAAATGAAAAGAAGACGCTCGACAGCCTGCCTCCTGAAGGGGGCGCTTTGGGCTGCGACGACTGGACACGAGCAGTGGTCAAGGGCGCTGATGAATATTCAAAGAGATGGCAACATTTACTGGTCATGACAGGCGTCCTTATGGGCATGGAAGGCAACGATAAGCGCGCCTTATCCAGCAGTCTCAAAGGGACGCTTGAACGGGCGATTGTGACGGCTGCCAATATGGCTCTGGATACCCATCGACAGGATGGACCGCTTGCTGGCGCATCTATTGCACTGGCTCTAAACTTTTCATTCCCCCTGCTCTCAGAATTCAACAAGTCTCAGATCAACTGCAACGAGTTGTTGCCAGTCACTGTTTGGGCCATCACAGGCCCGGAAGGCTTTTGCGAGGGCCAGTTCCTGCAGGTTATTGGAGATAGCATTTCCGAGGCTCCCGGCCAAACGCTCTCCTGGACTTCACAGACGCCCTCTTTTAGCCTGTTACAAGCTATGGACCAGCGGCCCCTGATGGGAAACATAGGCCCCCTCTCAAAACTGGCCGCCTACGCAGCACTGCATGCGACAGATACCGTTGCTGTTTTGGCGGCACAGGATGCGCTGCTGTTGTTCTCACGCCAAGTGCTGGATGCTTGGAGACTGAACAGATTCAATGATGTCGACCCGGCATTCGAAGCCAACAAGCTTAGCCTCGAGACCTACCAAAAGACGTGGCCGGTGCTGTGGCAGGTCCTGCGCAAGCTGTTGTTTGGCGCCGTGGCTGTCCTCCAGGCCATTGTGTCTCGCAGTCTGCTGGATCATCGCATGCTGAACGTCGTGACGGCCTCGGAAATTGCTATTAAATCATTGCATATCCTTCGCAACTTTTACTTTATATCCAGCCGGAACAACAACAGTGCTTTTCAGGTGTACAATTTCACCTACCTAACGTCTATCGATACCCTTGCCAGAAACCCGCCTGCGTGTGAGATTTTGCTCAAGGAGATACGGCCCATTGAGACTCCGACGGCCCCGATTACGTGTCTCTCGAGGACGCTGGATCTGTTCTACTTGAATCTTGCAGAGCACTTGCCCTTGGTGCTATCCACGGATGCTTGCGAAGCTCTAATAATCAAGCCCGCAACTTCATATCTCTCCCATGATGGCCCCATGACTCCCTCTATAGTCGAACTCTTTGAGTCTTCCCATAGCGCTATCCTCTCCGTGCTATCCTGCCCGCAACACGGCCCGCTCACCATCAGCATCACTCCCTTCTACATTGTCAAGCTCTTTGAATCATTTCCTCTACAAATCTCCCCACGGCAGTTCCGAGTTGCTTACAAGACCGTCATGCAAACCATCTCTCCGCCTTTCCCCATCGCTGCGGTGGAACCTCATCTCTCAGAAACTCTCCTCGAAATGCTTCGCGCATCTATTCCTACGGCAAACACGGCACTTCTGCCCCAAACCCCGGACGCTGTCTCACTGGATGCTACATCGCCAGAAGACTTGGCTCAAGAGCCTCCCGAACCTTGTTCAGAGCAGAGCACACTGACCATGGCCCTGATTGATACTCTGCCGTTCTTGCCCTTGCCTTTGGTGGAAGAGTGGCTTACCATTACCGCACAAACATTAAATACTATTGAAGATCCCAAGCTGAGGGCACCGGTTAAAAAGCGGTTCTGGGATATTCTCATTAATGGCGAAATGGACGTCGAACGGGCAGCTATCGGAGTCGCGTGGTGGGGAAATAAGGGCGGAAGACAGTTGTTTCTCTCTAGGCCAACACCACCCGAGGCAGCGATGATGAGCGGTGCGATTGTGTCTGATGATCAGGTCAGCAGCAAGCTGTAAGGCGCCACTGACGGGTAACTGTACGATGGAAACATAGACGACGGATTTTCATTATCACATGTTGGAGTGGGCTGTACTTGATCACTGATGTTTAGCCGTGTGGATAAAAATGGTGATCAGATGCCAACAGTTTTGGTTTTTGCTGTGTGGCTGCATTTGTTTAGCGATGATATACTGCATTAGGGAAGTCATTTAAAGTCGGTGGGACCTCAGGCTGGCATGACTTGATTGAGGGTTTTTAGAAATCTTTTTAGAATTATCAACACTTGGACACTATCCAAGTAAAAGTCTAATGGCATGCTCTTCAACACAGCGTGTCTCACTCTGGTAGGCTTATACCTCTCAATGTTCATGACATACACAACTGCTGCGCCTCCGCGTGGTCGCTTGAGTGCTATAACAATGATGAATCCCTTCATCACCATCTCCTTATCTGCCGGCACAACTACTAACGAAGCTTCATCGCCAACTATCGCTGCCTGGGATACATCGGTGGAAACACCAGAGCCACCAGGGATTTTTCGCAGCACCAAGACATCTCACAGCTGTAATAACGACCTTTGCTTTCCGCTACCGACTTGGCCAAAGTCGGAAACTCCAACAACATCGACATCAGTACCGACATCAGGCACAATCGCGACTGTCTGTTTGCAGATTCCCCCTCCAAGCCAAAGTCGATCGGCCATGAGGTTCAATTTCACAGACACGTGTGATGGCGACTCGGACATGGCAGGGATTGCCGCGTAACGCTAGACTGCGACGCATCGCAAGGCCTGTATCCGATTTGCGAGCGCGGCGAGTGCAAATGCTCGGCCAAGGCGTGTTTTAAAAGGTCAATGTGCTTGCCATATCGCCAGTGCCGCGAGTTCGACGAGCACGTCTGTATGAAAGAGAGGCATGAGACTGATGGCATGGGGACCTGTGGGTGTCAGCCCCGGATCACGGATTGTCTCTTCCAAAAGAGTCCTCACCATTATTGCGCGAAAAGGTTGAATTGTACGGAAAGGCATTTCTCTTTATATCCCGAGCTTCCGTACTGCAGCACTGGAGATTCAAAATATGCCCTTGGGAAATGCGAATGTCGGCATTTCGATTGCTCTCGGACAGGAGACGAGGGGGATTATTATGAGGTGTGCAAAGACCTGGTTGACTGCGGTTCGGGTCCGTTGGGATCCAGGTCGTTTTATAGTCTCAAGTATGGGAATAAGAGTAGAGGCACAGAAGATGGCTACTGTACCTGCGGATCATGAATTATCTGGTTCAATAAACGTCTGTTTTGCAATTGAAATCACGGCGTTCTCACGAAATCGTCTCTCCCACCAATTGTAGACCTTGACAGCTTAGATAGATGAACGCACTTCTCATTTATTCATTCTAGCCCTAGCTCTATTGATATTTAGAAGAATAATCTTTAATCTCATTAAACCGAATGCACTTCTACCAATTAGGGGCATCTCAGCCCGCGCCTTCCTAGAAAGAAGGTCTTCTGAGTGGCAGCGACGGGCACATAATGAGGAAGGCACATCCAGCACAATCCCTCGGCCTTTATCTTTTAATCGTCTTTCTGAATTGAATTTTCTTTACATCTACTGCTGTCATCTTGCCAGTTTGATCTTGTTTGACTACAGGCCTTTGATAAAGTCGCATCTCGCCTCATTTAAGTAGGTCGTTATTCCCATAACACTCTTGCCTTTTATTAATCACTTACAATCACACACACAGCACGAGAAGCATCAATCATTCAGTACAGCACTGCGACTATGGGTGATTTGCAGCCGGCTGCAACTCATACAATCAGACGAATACCAGCAAGAGTAGAAACACGGGGAGTGGCAATGATGCAATGCCGCATCTTCTCGCCTCCAATCAGCTTCGAGGGGTGTCTATTCTGGGATAAGAGCCTGTAGAAAGAGCAGTTGCTGTCTTGTTGCAAAATCGGCGGTTTTTTCAATGATGCCATTTCACGTCATCTTACAGCTTCGACGGAAAGCAAAACAAACCCCTCCTTTTTGCTATCAGCACCCGCCTCCTTCGTTTCAGCATAGCGCGGCATTTGGGCGTCGAGACTGGCGAGGAACCGGATGGCAGATGGACGGATGCAGCCAACAGACACCACTTCGATGCAAGCCCCTCATTGCGTGCGAATTGGCATTCCAACCTAGCTATTTGCATGTGCTCGTAGCAACCACTGCTTGATGAACGTGGTGCGCAGCGGCTCCCAGCTTGCCAGCCAGAATTTGGAGCTTTGCATGCGGCCACTCCAAGTAAAAACTTGGCATCATATCTAAGCAGGGAGAAGTAGGTATGGAGATAGCTCATCCGTCATAGCCAGCTAGCGTCTCCAGATCTGCAGCTAGGCCAGCTTGCGAGATGCGCTCAGCAGAAGGAGCCTTTCGACGTGTATTCAAATGAGGCGTTGCATTGAAGCTGGTTTATCATTTATTACCCCGCCGCCAACTCTTGCGAAGCTTTGTCTCAGATGACGACGGCGTCTTCCAATCGCTCGATCAGGAACTAAGAACGCCACACGCTCGTCACCATGCAAAGCTTGCTGGATGTCGGCGGAATGGCGGGTGCAAGATGGAGGGAAGCTTAAGCTGCGACAGCTGGTCGAGTGGTTACGAGGTCTATGTCACGGAAGAAAAGCTGATTGGGCCCAGAAGAAATGGGATATCAGCAGAAACGTCGTCGTTTATACAGGAAACAAACCTTTCTATATTTGGAGCGCCGAGATGTGCTGAACGGAAGCACTATTGATTGACGCTCCTGGACAACACAAGGAGAGGCTAGATCGGGGCTGCCGGGCGTGACCGGGGGCGGGGCACTTTGGGGAAATTGGAGATACTCGTGACGAACTTTCAGCTGCTATTGTACCTTGCAGCGATACTATGTCATGTACCTACTCTTCTAGTACCATGGAGATGTGGTTACTGATCCAATTCCTAGTGGGGGCCTTCTCCATACACCCGGTGGCGTGCGCCATGGCAGCTTTCCGGGGGGGTTCTGAGCATCCAAATGGGGTGAGCTTGAATGAGACAAAGTACTTGGCCCATTACACAGCTGGCTGCCTCCGTCTCTCTGTATATAAAATCCTGTAAGTCGTCTCTGCTCCAAGATCTCAGAAGTAATTCCATAATCTCATCTTTACAACTGCAGTCAAACCTTCTAAGCTCTTCTTACTAAATCAATACCATCAAAATGTCTTGGCGTGACGACGACAACGTGAGTTTGCTACTTCCATACTTTTCTCTCATCGGACAAGCATTAATCAATTTCGCCCGGCCTATAGCAGCAGCAGCAGTTCGGCGTAAGTGAAATATTGTTCCTACAATCATGGCATCTCAACGCCTACGCTGTACGACACTCACTAACAACAAGTAGTCTGGCCGTGGCAACACTGACAACTTCGGTTCCACTGGAGATCAATTTGGATCCGGACAAGACACCTACGGCACCGGTAACCGCCGTAACGATGAGACCTCCTTCGGAACTAGTGGCCAGGGTGAGGCCTTTGGCCAGGGCAACACATACGGCTCGGGCAACGACAATCTCGGCTCCAGTGGTAACTACGGCACTGGCAATGACTCGTATGATACTGGCAACACTGGCCTGAGCGGCAACACTGGACTAGGCGGCGACACATACGGCTCTGGAAATCGTCGTAATGATGAATCTACTTTCGGCTCCAGTGGCCGCCAAGACCAATCATACGGCTCTCAAGACCAGTCGTATGGCTCCCAAGACCAATCGTATGGCTCATCTAAATACCCGTCTATGCCTGTTGTGACAATACTAACATGTGTGATTATAGTTATGGCGGCGATTCGTATGGTTCTGGAAACCAGCAATCCTCGGGCTTCGGTTCCTCTGACACCTCTGGAAACAAGCGTGAAGGCGGCGGTGGTGCCAGTGGCCTGCTTGAGAAGGTGAAGGATAAGATGCACATGGGGAGCGGCCGAAACCAGGGCGGTGACAACTACTAAACAGTAGCAATCGCGTCCTGTGATTTGAGTTAATGGTCAGGCTGTATTAGTAATGAAATGTTAAATGATGTTGTTGACTTAATAGTCTGATTTAATAGTCACACATCAGAATGAATATCCAAAAATATTTTCTTACGCAATTTTGCTCTCAGGGTCAAGGAAACCCAAAAAGAGCAGACATAGAAGAAAATTGCTGAGCTATTGACTGTCTATCGTCTATACTAGTCTTTCTATCTTGACAAGTAATGCTCCGTCTGTTGCCGCTCCCTTTGTATTCCTCAAATGCACAAATCTATACCCCTGGCCGAGACGATCAAGGCGCACACATGCCCACGCCGCTAGTTCATCTCGGCCAATCTCATCATCTCTAATCGTAAATCTCACAAACGTAAGCTCTTCGACCACCCCAGGAACACCCTTGAACTCAAGTTTCTCCGCGCCGAGATCAACGTCGCAGCCCTTGTATGTCTTGGTGCGGACCTTGTACTCGCTTCCATGGACGTACCCATCACTCTCTGCGTAGCTATTCTTGGAGCCTTCTACGTGGAGCTCGACTTTGACGTACGGCTTGAAACCCTTGGCAGATTTTTCGCTTGGTGGGAGGGGAATATTTTGGGCGGAAAAGAAGGTGAAGGCAAGGGAGACGGGCGTGCGAGTGATGGTAGTGGATTTGGAGGCGTCGTTTTCCTTGGATGTGAGGGCGGGGCGGTATCCTGAGAGTTCATGTTGGTTAGCAAGCAAAATCGAAAGAACAAAGTTTGAAGTGGGCAAAGTGCAAAAGCTTGTTTGTTACCTTCTGGCTTTAAAACGTAGCCGCTTGTTCCTACAAACATTCCTTCGTTTAACATCATGCCTTCGTCAGTTTCTTGCCAATTCAATGCAATAATCTGGGCACCACCACCCCAGAAAATGGATGGGTTCAAGTTGGAAGATCCAATTCGGAATCCTGCTGGGTAAGCCCTCAAGAAGTATCGTTTGTTGTGGTTGAAGAGGGCCTCCCACTGTTTCTCATGGTACTCAATGAACTTTTTCTCTGATATTGAGAACATGTGCGTGGGCATCGTGGCTTCTGGCTGCGTCCAATTCTTGAATGTCACTCCCTGAGTGTAGACTGCAAGGCGAGCGAGCTCTTGGATCGTCTTGGCGGGCTTTGACTGTGCACCGGTAGGCACAACCTGTTCGCTCCGTATGGTGTCGACTTTATCAAGAGGCGTACCAGCCGGGACGTGCTTGGTCTTGATGAGAATCTTGCGTCTCAGGTCGTGGGGACTAGGCAGCGCTTCGATATCAGATTCTGGGCTGGTTACTAGCAGACCATCCCAGACCTCTTTCATGATGTCCACCATGGCAATCTGCTGCTTGGGACTGCAGTGCACTTCCAGGCTCACAATCAGTGGCATTTCGGAGACCACGAATGCGCTTTCTCGAATAGCAACACAAACATCTCTGAAGGAAACGTCCTTTGTGAGTGTGTGACCGTGGAGCACTCTCGGCTCAGCCGTGGAAGGGGAATCCGACTTTCTCGAAACAGCCTCTTCTAATTCTGCCACCTTTTCAGTTGCCTTTTCTTCCATCTTTTCGATTTTCTTGCTGATATTGATCTTCTCCATCTTATTTTTCAGCTGATCACCCCAGCTAGACTTTGCCTTGTCCTTGTTCTCCTTCTTCTGCTTTTTGCGCGCTGCTTTTTTTGCCGCTGCTTCATCATCGCTCGTCTCGCTCTCTGATGACGATGTCTCTGCGTCGCTCTCATCGCCATCCCAGACGTCGATTTCGACGCAGCGACATCCTCTCAGCAAGACGTTGGTGTAAGCTCCGGTGGTACTATCACTCGACAGCTGGTTGCCTGTCAAATATGTATTGTGGCTAGAGCTGATGTAATAGCTGGCCAGCGGCCATGAAAAGTCCTCATTCTTAATCGGCAAGATGGCATCGCTCTTTGAAGAAGTCATATAGGCAAGGAAGGCATTGAGATCGACATCAGGGACATTGAGCAGCTCATCCGAAGCCGCAGCCATCGTGGCATTGCCCTGGGTTTTTTGCGAAAAGACTCTGACCTGGTCACTCGTCCATTTTCCCTCTGGAGTGGCGTGAGACTCGAAAAGGCGCTTTAGATAGGCGAGCGAGGTGCTACTGAGAGCTTTGACTGTTCGTTGGGCAGGGACAGAACCGCCCCCGGATTGGAGTGAGGCGTTGGCGGCCTCATCTGAAGTAGCCATAGTGGATGCAGAACAAGGAAGAGTGCGTGAGTGCGTGGATTCAAATGACAATAAGATTGAAGATGGGGGAAGCCGTGAGAGCGGATTCAAGAGTATGAAGTGCTTGATGATACAGAATATGAGTATGAGATGATGCTTCTTTGGTGTAGCATAAAACGGAATGCCAGCTGGGGTCTTTGAGAATAAATGCAGGGGCACTAAGAATTCAAACCAAGAGGAAGGAGAGATTCTAGGCCACTTTTCCCTAAAAAGCCAAGGTCAAGCTTTGCTACCCTGCAGTGTCGAAACAATTGGAACTCCAATCACAGATTAACGTCACAAAATCGTCTTACGCAAACAAGAAAAAGGAACTGAATCGCTGCGGATGAAACTGTGGCTCAGCTTCTGCATAGCCCAAGGAGAAGCCCCTCTATAGAGACCAGGTGGAGTCGCATGTCAACTCGCTGACCTGATTGAGGGGCTTTGGCTTTGATAGGTTGACGATCCCCTATTCCGTGGGTATAATGAGTGACATTGCGTCTCAGAGTTGCTTTAAATCTTCCAAAAAAATGGGGATTTTAGCTATAACCATTATATATCTCATTTAGTGAGACACAAAATTATCTACATTGAAAATACCGACACCATCAACTACGTTGTAGAATGTCTCCAACGCTGTGACGTGGCAATGGCGGATCAGATAGCGTGGATTGTGTCCGTCAACTACAACTCCTAATAGCCAATGAACCATCTGCGGCATGAATGCCAATTACTATTAGATTTTATTTTCAAAATGGTACACCCGATAATCAGCACCAGATATGCTACGCTAGTCCAACCTATATATGCATTCATCTCCTCTTCTCTTTCGACGTATCAAGTCTGTGCTTGCCGAGAAATTCTTCCATGTCGACATGAACCCTCATCCCCTTCGAAGTCATCGTATTATACACTGCCTTGAGTTCATCCGATTCCATATCGCGAATTAGCGTCAGGAAAGCTTCCATAATTACTTCTTTCGACCCAGGGCAGTGCCTCAATGCTCTGTAAAACACATCCTTTGCCTTGGCACGTAGCTGCTTTTGAGCGTAACAGAAGCGAATGTAAGAGATCCACAATACGGAACTATTCTGACAAACATCGCTCGCCAGAGCATGTTCAAATGCTGCCTTTGTCGTGTTGGTGTTGCCGTGTGTAAGCTCGTGTTGAATGACAAACACGCGGCTGCTAATGCAGTCATGCTCTTTCACTAAAACTTGGTCATACAAGAGGTCACGCGTCTCATCAATGACACGGAGGCTCGCATCTGCCCACTCAAACATGGAGATGAAAACTGTGTTCTGCGGGAACTGGCGAATGAAAGCCGAGAGCTTCTCTCGTAGGTATACTCTCCTGAAGGGCCTAGTTGTGGCAGTTAGCTTCATATCTCGAAGATAATTTGCGCTAAAGCTGTAGATGACGACTCACCCTTTTGATGCATGTAGGTATAAAAGATGCGTAGCAAATTGAAAGACCCGCTCATGAGCTTTGGCGCCGACTTTATCTTGAGACTGAAACTCTCGAGAAATCACGTCAACTGTGTTCATTGCTGCTGCAATATTGCCTTGTGATGCCGATGTTGGTTCTTCATTCTCCAAAGCTGTGAGGTACGACAGCAAAATCATGCACTCCGCAAGTGTGCTCGCTCCAACTGAATCTCCATATGTGAGATATTGGTGGAAATCTGAGGTGAACGTTTGATGGGCTTTGAGAAGTATAGTACTGCTCACTTCAAGAACATCTGTCCCTGTCACTTTCAGGGTGTCGTCCATCGATGAACAGAGCCGCACCTTTGCCAACTCGACGTTTCCATTTTCAAATTCCATCCATGCCCAAGTTCTATAAAACAAGAATTTGTACCATTTTTCAGATAGCTAAAGGCTGAATTAGCTGAGTTATTCTATACAAATATTTCAACAACTCAATACTTACCGACGGTGATTCAATTGCGGCTCTCAGCACTTTGTTCGCCACGTTGGGATCGTTAGTGAACTCGCAAAGGGCATAGGCATTATATAGCTCGGCATTAGCAGGATATTGTTTGAGAAGTGCTTTAGCAGGCCTCTTGATGTTAGTAGAATCGTTAGAAAAGGCTACTGCAAGGTAATACTGGGCCAGCTCTTCTATTCCACCGCTATGAACAAGCTGCTTCAATGCTTCTAAAATCCAAGCCGGATTCATAATAGGATTTTGTGGCTTTGTCGCAATATATCGATACCACTTCGAGCCACTAAATAGCAGAGAAGGAGAGGCGGCCGCCTTCACGCCCGTATCAAATCGTGGTTCGATTCTCTGCCAACTGTCTGGATCATCGTTATGCTTAACTGGCTCCAAGTCGATTTTGATGCGCGAAGATGATATAAACTGGTCATCATAAGCTGTTTCAGTCCAATTGCTCGCTCTAAATGCCGGCGGGTAGCCGGTGAAGAGCAAAAACGCATCAATCAGCTGGCCTGAAACCACTGGTAGAAGGGAAGCTGGTATCAAAAAGAGAAAGGGACTGATATCAGAGTACATGACGACTCTGAATGGATCATCGTCCGTCCCATCATCCATTGTCCTCGCCGGCATATTAGCCTCTTGCGAACGAGATTGCTCCAAGTAAGCCCAAGCTTTGTAGACGTCTCGCGACGAAGACGAACTAGTTGAGCTTGCCTTTACCGGCTCCGCCGCCTCTCCAGTGCCGTTAGTCTCGACATAATGTCGAAACCCTTTTGCGCCGGCGTCTCCTATGCGAGGAACTTCGCTTTCCCAAAAATCATTAAAAGATTCCAGCGCAAATTGTTTGTCCTCGATGGCAAGTGGCCTAAAGAGGTTGAGCTCCAAGAGACCCTGCCAAGCCGCAATAGAAAGTTCTTTGTAGCCGGCATCGTAAACGAAGCGAGTAGCCCTCAAGAATACAAATATGGCTTCTTCTATGGCTTCTTTTGGCTGGTCTGATGTAAGACGAGACAAAGCGAAACCTAAACGGTCTAAAAGCACCTTTTTGACGTCCTCATATTGAAATGTTGCAATATTCGAAGTCAAAAAGTCGAGATGTGTTTTCCACAAAAGAAAATCATCATCTCCATGTTCTAATATTTCTGACCATTTCTTAGCAGCTGCTTTGCCAGTCCACACCTTGACGCCCTCTCGCATCAAAGGAACAAGAACGCGTCTGCGGTCTTCCGCATTTTTGACGTTTTCAAGAGCCGATTCAAGCATTGATACTTTGATCTCTGCGAAACTATGGGCTTCATTTTCTAATATCGTATGGTCAAAATCTTCACCAGCTCTCAGCAAGGCGTCTTGATGTTCTACAAGCTCAAGCCAAGCACCGATGTCATCTGGAGATTCCTTTACTCGTTTGCTTAGCCGGATGGATTCTTGTTTAAGTGATTTGTTTTGGCCTGTGACGAGCATGTCGGTTGACATGTCGGAATCCTCATCAGAGTCACTCTCTGAATGTTCTCGTGGCTTTGCTTTGCCCTCAATAGACCGATATGAGGGCTGTTCATCATCCGAGGATTGCTCATCCGCTTGATCTCGCTTCCGTTTGCTGGACGAGCTCAATGGTATGTAACCGTCGGCTTCGTCTATGGCATCGACATTTGCATTCCGGGAAGACGCTCTGATTGGCTTGGATGCCACTTTTGGCAACTTTGATCGAAGCCCATCCCGGCCTGCAAAAGTGGAAAATCCTTCACCGGGCATGCGAAGACTAAATTGATTTCTTGGCCCATCACGGTGTATTACTAGGCGTCCCACCGTACCGAGGACCCTGCCGCCCCCGTGGCGACGGTAGGCAGGTATCTGGGATTTATCAAGACCCCCGTATTTTATGATCAGGGGGTCACCTTTTGTATCGATCATGAAAAGACCTGGTACGCCCTCCAACTTGGAAGCAGGCTTCGGCTTTTCTATCCGATCAGCAATTCTCCCACGGTTCCGAGATCTTCGATGATCACGGTCACGATCTCTATGGCGACGAGGCTCCTGGCCACTGCGTCTAGAACCACGGTCCTCGTCAGCCCGGCGACTGCTTGATTTCTCATCATCACGGCTCTGCCTCTTGCGGCGTATTTCATGATGCCTGTCCAGTTTTGGAGTATCCTCTTTGCTGGGTTCTTTCGATTTGAAAGAAGAGAATTTTGGCACGCTAAGCTGGATGTCCTGCCCGTCTTGCGAGGCCATCTTTGATGAAGCTCAGCTTGGTCTGTCAAAAATCACCATGATGCTGATGCCCTGCAAGCATGCAACTGTCGACTCATGAGTCTCTCCGCATGTGAGTAAATATGATGCTGGCCGCTGCGCTCATACAATGTCGAATTGAATCAGCTTGAGTGTCCAGAAATAAGAAGCTCAAATCAGATATGGAAAGATACTTCAAGCTTCGTACCTTGATGCCGCGTATCGATCCGCGACCACGGCACGTGATGGTGCTATAAGGTTCGGTGCTATAACGCATTGCGCGGTGCATTCAACGCCTAAATCGTAGCTACAGCGATTGGGCCCACTAGAGCCATAGCAGCATCGGGCCACGACCAAAACACTAAAAACCTCCATTAAACTGCATCGTCAGCACCAGCAACAGCAATAGTAACATAATTATCGATCAACGTGTGGGAATCGAGCTGCCAATTCTCATCAGTCTTACAAAACAGCATCACTTCTCTCTTCCACTTCTCTCGTACATTCCCTCACAGCGTCGGGTCATGCCCGCAGACGGCCTACTCAATCAGTTGGTCTGGATCTTGCCTGCTAGTATAACCATTGCCATTGGCATCGTCACCATCATGGGGTTTTTCGGCGGAAACCAGATGCCTGTTAAGGGCAAGGTTAGTGATCCCTTCTTTCAATTTTTTCATGACTTCATGCAATTGAGTAATGTAATGGCATTGCTGATGATGAATACCTGAGCCTTGATACAGACCGTCCTCATCACGGGAGCCTCAGAGGGCATGGGCCTATCAGTCGCGAAGCTGCTGTCCTTCAAGGGCGCCAACATTGTCCTTGTTTCTCGCAGTGTCGATAAGCTCCAAGACGCTCTCGAGATCGTCAAGGTATGTATGATCTGCAGTGTCATTCATATTGTTCCACTGACACAAACTTTCCAGGCTGCCGCCACAGACAAGGATAACCAGCGATTCCACTACATCGCCGCCGATGTCTCTGCGCCATCTTACGCTACTCCTCTCCTCGCTGAGGTCCTGGAATGGAACAATGGCAACCCTCCCGACATTGTCTGGTGCATCGCCGGAATGTCCACCCCAGAGCTGTTTGTCGACATGGACATGTCCTCTCTGCGCCGCCAGATGGACGTCAACTTCTACGGCACAGCCGAAATGTCCCACGCCATCCTCAAGGAATGGCTGGCTGTCGACGCTCCCGTAGAGAAGGAGGCCAAGCATCTCATCATGACCGGCAGTGTCCTGGCGCTGTATACCATCCCCGGCTACGCACCCTACTCGCCTTCCAAATGGGCGATGCGAGGCTTGGCGGACACCATATCCCAAGAGGTGATGATGTACCCGCAGAACGTCAAAGTCCACATGGTGTTCCCTGGAACTATTCTGTCGCCTGGATACGCCCGTGAGATTCTCACCACGCCTGAGATTACGAGAATCCTGGAAGCTAGCGACCCCCAGCAGACTCCCGATCAAGTTGCAGACTCTGCAATCAAGGGGCTGGAGCGCGGTGAATATTTTGTTACTGTGGCATGGCTTGGTGCGCTTATGAAATGGGGAATGCTGGGTGGCTCGTTCCGTAATAATTGGTTCGTTGATACCATCATGTCGTGGATTGTTAATTTCCTTTGGATATTTATTCAGCCTGATCTGCATGGAAAGATACGAAAGTATGGTAAGACGCATGGCCACCCTAGCAAGACTAAGCAGGAAGGTCAGGACCGTCAAGCGTAAACCAATTTTTTTGTTTTATCCCTCTTTCGCACAGTTTGATAATATAGACACGTCTACATGAGTTGAATGCATGCATATATACAATTGCAGCGTCTAGACCTATATCCTAATAATAGCTAATCCCATATATATACTATATTCCGGCGCATTATACACCGCTCCATTTTCCGAACTTGACATATCTCTTGAACATCTCCCTCAGGATAGCTCTTCCGCTAGCATCCATAGCGTCATTAAGAATCTTCCTCACCTCAGGCGGCGTCACGTCGAAAATAGAATTCATTGCCGGCTCCAGAGCCTCTCGTACCTCCCTTGGCACATCGGCCTCAAGCTGCAGCTTCACGTACTGCATAAGCACCATGTAAACGTGCCACCCGGCAGAACGTTTGGCCGCATCTGTCGCAGAATCCAAGGCGTTCTGATGCTGTGAACGGGAAACGGCTCCTGCGGTAGGTTCACAGATAAAGGTAATGATCCGGCCGTACAGACGAGCCATTGACTCTTGCGTTGTGCCGTCTCCAGTGCTCTTTGGTTGATGGAGGATTAGGTTGTTAAGCAAGGCTTGCACAGTCGTCAGCAGCAAGTGGTGGTGGCCTTCTAATCGTAAGCGGTGCTTTTTGATGATTGTTCCGATCAATTTGCAGAGCCAGGTGAACGACACCGTGGGGCCATTTGTGGGCTTTGCCGAAGCCAAGTCGTTGACAGTACTCAAGGTTACTTCAATATTCCACTGTCCCATAGCCTGGGGCTTCTTTTCAAGAAGGGTCTGAATAGTTTGGCATATATAAGCTGTGTTTGGCGATTTCTTTAACAAGCTGAGAGTTAGCTCGCTATGGGCTGCCGATAAATCGACACCTTCGCTTTTGCCATGTAGATCAGTGCGTTCTGGTGTACATACGTTAGCCCAATTCTTTCCAACATTTTCACATACTACATACCGATTAGGTGACCCACGACTTGGCCAATGGCAAGAGCTTGGCCATCAGTGTCGCAGCCCTCCGTAAATTCACCAATCAACATTTGAAGGTAGCGTGATACCTCAGGCACGCTGGCTTTGGCAATTATAGACGCAACGTATTCCTTCAACAGAGGCTCGCGGGTTCTTGGCGGTAGGTTTGTTAGGGCAGTAAATGAAGTCGGATGAGGCTCCTCCAACTCGCTCGGCAGATAGGTATGAAGGAAGATCTGAATCTTCCACCCTCTCAAATCTCCAGTGATCATGGCTTCCTTGCTCCGCTTCTCAAGCTTTTGAACGGCCGATGACTTATTCTGTAAGATCACGGCGGCGCTATCCATAGCCTCTGCTGCGTGTACTGCTGCAAAAAGGGCCAAACCTTTCGAATTATCGTGTTTTGACAATAGTTTTCTGTTTGCGATGAACTCTCCTAAGACTGCTGCAACGTGCTGGGTCAAGGCGTTCTTCGCATTCTGCTGTAGCTGGCTGAGGCTAGATTGGCTTTGAAGAGCTGATGATCGGCCAAGCTCAACCACAAGAGCCTTTAACAAGGTAACATGTAGCGAAGGAAGGTTGAAGGGGTCACTCTTCGCCTCTTCTGCTGTACATGTTTCAATGAACTTGAGGGTTTCCGAGAAGTATTTCGTGCTTCGCTCATCGAAATTATCCGACATTTGCCTTATAATCGTTGCTGACATGGCAAAATACCTTTCGACAAGTTCAAGCAACGTCTCATCATCCAGTGTCTCTTCAAACGAGAGACTTGAAATGGCATCGGCAAAATCAACAAGGTTGGAGAACTGCATCTCTTCATTGAAAGTTGGCCGCGCCATCATCTTGGTCGTCAGATCGAGAACCAGCTTCCAGCCTTCCCAAGACACCCGCTTCGGAGATTTGACCATCTTTTCTCTCCTTTTGTCCAAGATACTCATAATCTGCTCGCGCTGTGTACGGCTAAAAGCTTCAGATGGTACGCTGCATAGTGTCCGGATCCAGAGCTGTCCATACTCTCCTGGCCACCCTTTCTCTTTCTCAGATTCGGATAGGGCTGTAATTAAACGGTCTATAAGCTTTCTCGAAAGCTTCGGGTCATTAAGATTGGTGTCATTGCTTAGAAGCGCACTCCACAGCGCATGCAATCCAGGAGGACTGGCATTCTTTGTGGAAGACACTGCGTCAAGCAAAGGGATGTCGCCTGCTTTTCTAAAGTATAGCCGGTAGAAGCGACTGGAGCCCTGAATATACCAAGCCAAGTATTGTTGTAATGAAAGGTCCTCGTCAAATTCCGATGCCACCTCCAAGTCAAGAGACGTTGATAATTTCGCGAATTCCAAAATATCGTACGACGCTAGTTCTTCGACTAAGCGTGGCGTGAATTTCTCTATCAGCTTGGCTGGCTCATTAGCAGTCTCTTCATCTTGGCTCATCGAGTCCCAAGCCTGGTAGCAGCACTTTAGAGCCTCGAACGTTTCAGCTGACTTCACAGTCCCTTTTTTGACAAGTTTTGATATCTGATCCTTGATTTGCGCCCAGACATTGTTCCGCTCTTCGGGTGAGGCTAATGAGATTGTCTTGGACACAACTCTCCATTTCAAAGCGGACTTTGATGAGCTTTTCAATGGAGAAACTAGGTCGAACAGCTTCAAGCCGACTGCATCAATAAATGACTCGCCATGCAAGCCTTCCGCAATGATACTCGTAAAGACACAAACAGATTGGGGGGTCGAGCTAGACTCTTGTTCCCTCAGCCACTCGAGGAGAACAACAAGCTGCTGCGGTGATAGTTCGGACTCTATTGAAGATGAAATCGCCTTCCGCTGATCTGCTTTCCGGCCAATATCGAACCAAGGGCTACTAGAGACCATCTTTTGTTTCTCAGCCAGACAGAGTTGAGTAAACCATAGTCGCAAAAATCCAGATAGATCTCGACGAGTCTGGAAGCTTTTCTTTATGGCGGCAATGAGACCCAGTTGATCTTTGTGGCTATCTGAATCAGCCGTTTGACCAAGACTTTGCACGCAAATCTCGTTCAAAAGCGCGGTGCCTTCTTCAGACATTTGAAAGATGTCCGGGTTGCATGTAGCAGCATTCGCAAGTAAGCTCCAGTCGATTTCCGATCCCAGGCCATAATCGCGACATACTTGTCGTAAATCTCCCGCATCAATGGACAGCGATTTCCCTATAGCCTGTGCCAATACCTGCTTCATCAAAGTATTGCGATCTGTCTTTGGACGAATTTGTTGCTCCACAGCTTTGAATATCCGATCCATCCACATCGTATTGATCCTGCGCATATCGCTTTCACTCGAGGGGTCAGCAATCCCAGAAGCCAAGAAGTATAGTACTGGAGCAGAAGTTCTTGTTTCATCATTTGATACATCGAGCGCCTTCATGATGATTTCAAAATCTTGGCGATTCCAGAAATATGTCCGGGCGGGGAGGATGAAATTTCGGTGCATGAATCGCTGAAGATCTGCGCTCCATCGGGTGGCTAGGGCTTCATTGATGGTCAGACTTTGGCCCTGGATGGAAGGCTCTATCTTTTTTAAGATTGCAGATGCTGGCCTAAAGAGATGGATTGCAATCTCCAAGGCGTCCTTGTCTCCTTGTAAATGGAGATCCCATATCCTAGAGACAGTTACAATCCACTCCTCTTTGCCTTCGACCTCGTCACAGACATCGCTGGCCAGTAGTAAAAGGCAAACTACGAAGAAGGAAGACGCCAATGTCGCAGCTTCAAGAGCAGATGTGCTGAATAAAGATTTGATGTGTTCGGCTCCAATCCTATCGCGTGATCCAACAGCGTTGTTTCCCAGCCGCCCAAGCAGAGATTTCAAAGCATTGAAGACGGCCTGGCCAGTTGCCAAGCAGCCTTCTAACCCTTTCAATTCATTCGAGGCGTAGCGCGGCGCCAGTGATCTCTTCCTCTTGGAAATAGAGGAACCAGGCTCTTCGCTTGGATTTGATGCATCTTTGAGAGTTTGCTGCAAAACAGCCACAAATTTCCTATCCGCCAGAGACTTGGCAAGCGAAAAGAGCGGAATCTTTTGAAACACAAAATCCATAATCGTCCAGGTCAATGGGTAGCGCCGTATGGTTTCCGCCTCTGATGAGTTTCCGTTCATGGACTTGAGCAGCCATCTCAGCGCGCTCTCCTCCGCCGCGTGGAATTGGTGATCCGATGACTCTGTGAGGCTATTCCACAGCTTCTGAAGATTCTCCCCATTTTCGCCAGACCCATTTTGGTCAAGGCCTCGTACGATCTTGACGAGATCCAAGTTTCCCTGCCCAGAGCATGTGAGCTTGACTTGAACTCAGCGCGACCAACTATAAGGGTGAAAAATCTTACCATTATGAGAAAAGATAAAAAAAAAATCAAGGACACATTAAGAAAAAGAAGGACAAAAGGCAATGATTGACGGATGGTAGTCTCAAATTGACCGAGTCTATCTCAATAATTTATGAAAGAAAATTTGTTTATATCAGAGACAAGATTGTATAAGCTGCAGCCATCATCGTCGCAGCGCCAAAAATTCCGAAAATCAAAAATTCTGCCGCAATCTCCACCCCGATTCGGCAATCACCTCTCACCGCCCTTCAAGGCCAAGACCGTCCGCGATGAGGCCGGTCGATTTTCGTGTAGCTTGACATCACCTGTATCCAAAGCTTTTTTCTCTTCCCTTTCCCACGACTCCCCGTTTGGCTCTCCGACGTCAATTGCGCTTCGCACGTAAGTACAGCCTCGCGGCAAATCGACCTACACACAGCATTCTCACGCCGTCGACCACAGAAACGTCCGCCGCCATGTCCGAGACCACCACCCCTCGCTCCCCAAGCGCCATTTCCCGGCCTGTTAGCGAAGCGCTTCTCAACGAGAAGGTACCGAGCCGAGCTTCAAGACTCTAGATTTTGCAGAATTGTTCTTTGGTTTACTAATTCATTTTCCCTTGGTATTAAACAATAGTGGGATCGCTGCCTCTCCAACCTCCTCGTCAAGTCCACCCTCGGCCTCGGATTCGGCGTCGTCTTCTCCGTCCTTCTCTTTAAGCGAAGAGCTTGGCCCGCCTACCTGGGCGCCGGCTTTGGTGCTGGACGAGCCTACGAAGAGTGCAACTTCAACCTGAAGCAGGCCGCCCGAGACCTGAAGAAGCCCTCAGCATAATCATGAAATAAATCCGAGAAAAAAAGGTGCAAAGCCGCGGCTAAGAAAGGAGAGGACGAAGAAAAAGACAATGGTGGAATGGGGGGAAAAAAGAAAAATCCCAGCGTTGTATAAATTGCACGTGTCGAGGAAATAGAAGCATGGCACCGGCTGATGAGGCATAGAGCTTGCATCACAAGCTTCTGGTTAGGCCTCATCAAAAATTCTGGCGACAATTCGAAGTTTATTAGTTTTCATATTGTGTGTTTTTTTAAACAACTATGTACAACAATTTTTTATCCAAACGATCCCGATCCTCCGAACGCCGGCTCCATGACAAGTGAACACCAAAAGCTCAATATCTCGAATAAATTGCACGAACCGAAACGCTATTGCTCGTGCCTGGATTTCATCAAACTGCTTCCAGGGCAGCATCATATGCTATGTGGGCTGACCATCCCTTGTTATTGTTTCTCTCTCTCATTCATGTTCGTCATCCTCTCTTCTAGCAAGAGAGGATTTGTTCTTTTTTTTTTTTGTCCTTTCTCATTTCGTAACTTTGCAACACGCCAGTTTTAACGCCAATTATCAATGCGAGGGCCTTTGCAAAACGCCAGTCAAATGCATGGAGCTCCCATAGCTCCGTATTGTTTCGATTTGGTCTTTCCAATTGCTGCCCGAAGAGATGGTATGTTGGGTAGGGAAATGTTTCGTAATGTCGAATACTGCAATAAGAGCAAAGAAGAGAAGAAGAAGAAGAAGGAGAAAATCATCCAGAGGTAGTAGGTAGTGGTGGTCTTTGGCTCAGTAGATGGCACCTCTGTATCGAGGTCGGCCTCTCGAGAAGCAGTGCGGCCGAGTCTTATACGACTCGGCACTTAGGCTCAGCTTCCGGGACTGGCTGTAGAGATCAAGATTGAAGAGGATAATGGCACCAAGCACCGACACGAGGAAAAACACTTCGGCAGCGAGAAGAACAATCTCAAGCCTGATGTCTTCCAAAGAGCGCTGGAGCTGGACTTCAGACATTTTGCGGGTGGTGTTTGTGTGGTGATGGAGCTTGTGATGATGACGCTGACGCTGACACTGGTGCCCAAACAGTCGGTGTGTAATACATGAACGACTTCAGATGGAGCAACCGGGGGGGAAAGGTATGCTTATCAGCTTTCTGCGGGTGGGAAGTGTCGGGAGGGGCACAAGGCGGTAAGAAAATAAAGAGGATGAGGTCGTAAGACAAATGCGTCGAGGTGCAGAGGGCTATGCACGAGAATGAGGCCGGTTTATACGTGGTATTTATATATAGGATGGCCTATGTTTACGGTAGGGTTTAGGGATGCGAGGGTGGTTTGCTCACCACCGCCCGTTTGACGCAAACTGGGGAACATCTCCACGACCAACGAGCTACTGCTAGCTGCAGACAGCGCACCACCGCGGCACAGCATCCATCGCACGGCACAACAGCACAGCACAGCACAGCACAGCGGACAGCGCAGACAGGCAAGTGAGTGGCGCGTCCGTCGAGCCCGTGATGTGGTGCGGCAGGCAGCAAATGAGTGAATAATGGCCATTCTGCAGCGGGGACCCATGCATGGGATGGGGCTTACAGATTCGTGCCCTCTTCGCCTGCCAGACGTTCGCATCGCGGCCCAAAGGACAAGAGAGCAACTGTCCACGCGACCCTCATGCAGCCGTTAACCTGTGGCCGGCGCCTCGGCCGTCGTCAGGATGCGGACGGGCTAATTAAACGCTTGCATTTGGATTTCTGCAGCGGCGCCTTTGGGCAGCGGTGGACTTTGCGCAGAAAAACAGCAGGTTTTTATCATGTGTCAAGAGCAGGGGTGGTTGTAGAGCAGGCATTTCCCCTCATGCCCATCTCGAGGAGCTCCGGAAAGAGGCTTCTTTTGCGGGTAGAAGACGACGAAATTTGAAAAGCAGTCAGGGCTTGGGAAGCAATACAGACGACTAAGGTAGGTAGTAGTGCTATGGAGGAGCATGTGGGAAGAACCACCAAAACGGCAAGACGAAAAAGTAGTCGCAGCTTGCCGTCGTATTTTAAAGGCAGAAGAAGAATCCATTTCCATCTAGCACGCAAATATGACCCAAAGCAAGTAAATGAATCGCTCTAGGTTGATTAATCGTGCAAAAAAGTGTATCGAAGAAAGGAAAGAAAAAGTCAAAAAATGAGGCACGCGACGGCCCGCATGTATAGACTTAGCTAGCAAGCACAAATCCATGGCTATCACGTGACAAGTCAGGGTCTTTGAGCTTTTTCTTTCTCACCATAAAACGCTCCGCTTTTCCAAGCAATCACAAATTTTCTCAACCTTCCATCAGCACTGGCACATGCTACGACGCAGGCAGCAAAAAAAAAAAAAAAAGCTCGAGGATTGCCGTGATGGTGGTTATTCTCAGCTGCACAATGATCTCATGGGCTTCTTCTGTCTCCTACCCTCGCATAGGTTAGGCAGATATTATTATCGCCCGAGTTCAAATTGGTAAGTTTTGGAGAGTACCTCCATATGCGCCTCTGCCGTGCTCTGTTTTGATTTGATGCGATACCCACGATTTGCCTACACCTCGCCGCTTTTCAATGCGCAAGCGTGTCAACTACTTTTTTTATCGTTCGATGTGGGAGATGAAACCAGCGGTCTAGACAACCAGTCTGTTCCACCCTGATGCCATTGAGAAAAATGTGTGGCATCGGGACTAAAACCAGACAAACATATCATTACTATAGCGTTTTATCTGTGAACTCGCCGTGACTGCATACTTTGATATACTTTGAAATTGCCTGCTCTATCAAAAGTGTATATGCTCTTATACATATGTCTCATGTAATCGTACAAAATCCAGCAAAACTCCATATAACCCGAGCGTCCAATGTCTTGCTACCGCTTAGACAGACAGTATCATCAAAATACCCATTATCTAGCTCTTTAAACAAAGAAAAGAGGATGCTCCTGAAAAGCAAAGGAAATCAGATCATATCTTGCTTGCAAAGATTACGCTTTCGTTAGTAAATGACAGCAAAAACTTGGCCACCAGGCGTCCAGTATAAAGGAACGATGTATCCATAGGATAGGGGTGCTCCTCTCTGTGAAGCAAGAGCTCATCATCAGCAAGAAACTGCATGTCTTGCCCTATTTCGCCTGTCAATATTCTATTACGGTAAGCAAGCAGATAGTGGGAAAACTCACAGTCTTCTCCGTGGAAAAGCTCTCTCAAGTTCTGCACCATTTCCACTGCCGGGGGGTCAAGTTCACCCTGTTCGAGAAAGGCGTCGTCGAATAGAGGATTGAAGCTCCTTGTGTTTGCATCCTTTGTATGAGTCTGATAGAGGTGGTGGAATTGGTACGCAAACTGCTTGAACGGCATGTTCTCTAGCTCCTTGCACGTATCCTGCGCAAGCGATCTCTGGTATTTGGGCGAGGACGTGTTCCTTAAATCAATCTCATTCTGCGTTACAACAAAGTTGTCTGCGGCTGTTTCAACAGCTTCCATGAACAGGCACAGGACCAGGAAGGATGCAAGACAGGGTGCCCATTCTCGTCGGAGCTTCGGTTTAAGTGACTTGGAGAAGAGCTCAAACAGGGTTTGCATATCGCGCAGGATGAGCTCGTCGACTAGGGACTTGATTTGCCGGGCGAGTACTCGGGGAGTGACCCACGGAGTGTTCTGAGGTACCAGTCCAGTTGGCTGCAGGGCGAGGATGGACTGACGGGTTAAGCAGAGATGCCGTGTCATGACATAATGCATGGTATAGATTGAAAGAGCGCGCTTAACCATTGTAGACTGTGTTTTGATTAGCTTTCTCTTCTCGCCTTCAGTCTCTCATATCACCATTCGACTTACATCTGACTGTTTTGCAAAGTTTTGCACAATCGCAAGAATTTTGTTAGGAAGCCTGGTGGACCTGAATGAATCCGTCAACTGGTCCGCCAGCAGCGGTTCATTCACCAGTGCCTGAATGTATCCCTTGGTCAACTTTTTCATTTCGTCCTTTTGAGGGCCCTTGTTAAACTCGATACCAATGGGAGCAGAGCCCTGGGACTGAAGATCAACCTGATTCTTCTCATTGCTCAGATGCCAGTGCTGTAACACATCGCACGTCTTGGCCGTAAAGAACTTGGCTTGAAGTGTCAGCGTAGTCGCAAATCGAGGGCCTGAAGAGAGCTCAACGCTGCAGAGTCGTTCGGACCCGTTCACTGTGAAGCCCTCAACATTCTCGGTGATGAAGCTAGCCATAGCATCCCTCTTAAAGTGGCCCCGAATGAAATCAGGAAACAGCACCGGTAGAAAGTCCTGGAACTGCCAACACACAACCTGCGGAACCGAAATCATAAGCTTCTTGCAGTGCTTACACGGCCTCTCTTTATCACATTTGACTTTGCGGCTGTGGCAGCAGAAGCACGCGCCCACTCTCCGAACCTGCAGTGCGCTCTCTTTCGTCTCATTCGCCAGGGGGCCTTTCCGGCCCTTTTGTGTCGTCCTCATGGCCTCGAAACACTCAAAAGGGTTCGGCTTGCCAGCACGGGCATTGATTGTCGTCGGTGTCATGATGACAAACTTGCTGGGGGACTCGCTCTTGTTTTTCTCGACTTTGCCGCCAATCACTTTGCGCATCGCCTTTCCTGATTTGCCGCTCCCCTCGGATTTGACAGCAGGCGATTTCGGGCTCGAGGAAGAGGCGAAGCTTAGTTGACTGCCTGGCGAAGAGATCATGTCTTCAAACACAAAATTGCTTTCGGAAGCAATACTGGGACTCGTCTGGTGCCATGATGATAGGCTGGGATCCGAGGGCAGTGACTGGAGCGCATTTCGCTGAGGCAGAGACTGTTGTACCGGACTTGTCTGGATTATAGAAAACGGATCGGCTTGGAAATCGTCCATGAAAGGTGTTGTAAGATCTGCATCTCAATCAACATTGATGAATTTCCGAGTATTCACAAACAAACCCACCATTAAGATCTTGCGGCTGGAAATCCGATGAACCAGACGGCATAAACAGATACTGCTGCGGCGTCAAAAACGCATCGTTCTGCGGAAACGCCGCGTCCACACTGGTAGTAGAGGCCTCAACAGTGCTCGGGAAAGGGTTAGAGGTTATGAACTCAGTATCCTGCTGATACGTGGTGCTGGCCGGGAGAAAGACTGCAGGGTCCATGTCGACGACAGAACCGGGCGAGAGCCCGCCCTGAGATGGTGTAGAACCATGGCCAACAATGGCGAAGCCGTTCAAACTGCCGCTTGCCGGGCTGGGGAGGAATCCTATCGATCCCGTAACGGATGCGCCGCTCGAGTAATCAATATATTGCCATGATTCGTCGGTGTCGCCAGTAGACTCGAAGTCGTAGACGGAGGCAGAATGCGGGGATGCGTTTTGTGAATGCACTGAAGCCATGGCGAATCAACATCAGTTATGGCTGCCACGGCCAAGAAGTGAAGCCAAGAGATCTGTTCCGGAGCTTGGACCGCGTGAATCGAAATTGTTGAGAGCTGCCGATTTCCTAGGCGATTTCAATGACCCTACGCCAAGTCGTTCTCAGTGTGTTGCTGGTGTAGTTCCGTATTGCGCAAACGTATTTTGTATTGTACAGCGGCAGTAGCTGCGGTATTGACCAGCAAATATCACTCCATCAGATCCACATATCGAGCCAATATGCCAGAAAATAGAATCAACATCAGCGACAGCGATAGCACAATAAAAATCAACGAATTTCTAAGAAAAAGGACTAAACCGTTCGGTCGCAAAACCGAGTTTACGGTCGCCGTAGCTGATGCCGTTGAATCGCTGCGGCGACTCCAGCATCCGCCGCTAAGCCGCAATAGAACACCGAACCACCCTGCTATCAATCGGCAGCGGCACCGTCATTGGCGGTCTCTGATGGGGCCGGCTGCTGGAGTTGCGACCCAGCCATTCACAGGCCTGGGCTGAAGCACATGCATTGGCTGGTCCCGATTGGGAACTTAAGCATGTGTATACCATCCAAGCAGATTTCGTGTTCTACGTTTACTGTGTAATAGGTACTTGATGAGCAGTGAGTATTTGAAAAGATGGACTCTTTAAGCATGAGATTGGCATATCATGACGACTTCAAATTATGCAAAGAGGTAGAAAAAAGAGTCACTCAGGTACAAGTTACTCCTTCAAGGTAAAAAGGATCATATAGCAGTCATTCCGTCTATAACATTATGGCCCCCGACACCATACATAGCAACGATTACCGACATCCAATCCAGACACCGAGCTGCGCCGCCAGCCTCGCACTTCGATTCAGCCTCGAGGCCTTGAGGTACCATTTTTCTCATATTAACGTGTCATTATAGAACATCATGCCACCTTTGGAGTCCGATTTTTATGTTGACATTCATTTCAAATCCATCGCCCTTGTCGCCTACAGTAGCGCCGCCCTGTTGCGCCTGGACCACAGATATGTACAATGTCGTGATATACCAGTTTGCCTTAACTTACGCTATTATTCACAACTCGCAGATATAAAAAAGGCATCTGCATCCCGAATACCTATCAGATATTACCTAGTCCTACAACGCAACGGCATATCCATCGAAATGTTGCAATACATGATTACGCCGCAAATGCATCCCAGTGCAGCAGCCAACTCACAATACCTACCTACAAATACACAGATCTTTTCTTTATACATTTCAACTGGTGTGAGCACATTATGCATGAGGCAGCACAAACCTTGCCAGTTGCTCTGCAATACAACTATACTCCTTGATTTATTTTCCATCATTCATCTTCAATTATACACTCTCATTGGCCATGCCTGTCATCATCCTCAAAGAATGCACAAGGTACATATACAGTATGCTACTAGTCCAATCGCCGCTCACAGCAATGAAGACAGCTGCCTCGCATGGCTCCATTCCCATCCCCTCCTTGCTCCTTTCTCCCAAAGTGATATGCTTTCCCAAATTCCTCCTTTTATAATTGCAGCAGATGCTATGTAGTAGTGAGGTTAATTACCAAGATACTCAATACAGGTAATGCAATATATGTCATTGGGGATCTCATGCCGATAGGTCAATTGAAAGATACCTGATGCGTTATCAAGGTCAAGTATAGTTATACAGCTCGCTGTTGACGACTGAAAATGAATGTCCTGTAGCTTCCAAATGCAAGGGCCACCATAACACGGGCCGAAATCGGAGGAGTGTAGTAGTATAAACAGAAGAACCACAAAGAACAGAAAACATCAGTCCCCATTACAGCCCGCCATTTTACATTGCTCAAGCAGGCTGTCATGGAGCATGCTTTTTTTGTTTACGTCTCATCATTACCATTGGCAATGGCGTAGCATGAGTAGATATTTTAAACTGAACCCAATTAGTCAGTCATGCGTGGATAGATATAATAAGAGAGCAAAGGGGGCCAGATAGGGTAATAACGCACACAAATATTGATATTCTCCCATGTCCTTTTATGTTGAACGAAAAACGTAAAAAAAAATCATCAATCATTTTCAAATTTTGCAGTCTCATAAAAAACGTGATCATTAATGCCAAAACAGAGACTGGTGTGGATGGGGCGAAGAAGTTTCTTAAGATCGGAATCGCGCATTGGCACGCTCCTGTATCTGCTTCTCCGTGGAAACGTATAGTCGGTCGAGATAGTCCATCGCCGACGCATCTTTCAGGATTTTAGCTACCTGAATACCAGCGGAAATGAGCTGGAGGATGTTGCGATCATCTTTCAGAGGGCGGCTCTGATGCTTAGCAGCATGCCGCATCTCTAGTGAGTTTTCAAGGATTGTGACAAACTGTTTGATCTGTCCGTTGTATAGCACTCGAGCGGGAATGCGTCGCTTGGTGGCAAGTCTTTTCAAGAGGTAAACCCACTCGGTCCACTCTCGATCTTGTGGCCTCTCTACGGGCCTCATGTCTTGAGTAAGGGGGATTGGAAACTGGTACTTGGCCACGAAATCATAGGCGCATTGCGACAACCGGTCATTAACCTGGTTAAGAACGTTATCTTGTTCCTGGACGTGAAGGTTGGTTGGCAGATGCGGGAGTTCTCTCTCCTGCATAGCAATAACGTCCTGGGGTGGGCGCTGTAGGAATTGATGAGGGCCGTCAAACTCGTCTCGGTTCGACGGCCGTCGCTGCGATCGAGCCTTGCTGTTTTGTTGCTTTGGTTTGTTGGAGGGGATACCAAAGTCTAAGCCATTGTCCAAGGAGTAATCAGACAAGCTTGGTGAGGCAATGATATCATCCACTGAGCCTGTGGGTGAATATCTGCTCTGTCCATCCCAAGCAGATGATCTGCTGCGCTTGTGGGATCCATATACTGGGCCGGGATAGATGGAATTGGAACCGCTGTTTGCCCCAGGTGGGGAGCGAGGGACATAGGCCGGCTGGGCCGACACTGGAGGATCGATTCTCGAAAAGTTTGCAGTCGATTGTGCGGGAGGGCTATCAGCCCAAGGATAGGTATTGGTCGTGAAGTTCATGCTTTATAGTAGTATCATGGTAAGCTTGGCGTCCGTCAACTGGCCTGTGATGAGTTTGTCTTATCTCACCTAGAAACTGGGTACAGGCTCCCAGCAAGTCTGCCGCCGTTGTAGGGTTCAGCGAAAAGGCTATATTCAGGTTAGTCAAATATACTTCTTTCATCTGGGCTGGAGTTGTCAAGTCGCACCTGCGAGGCGGGTTCCAGTGGTTGTTGGTAGCGGAAGGCATATTGTAAGCAAATCCAGGCTGTGCCATATTTTCAGGGCTCATAATGCAGCGATATACGTCCGGAAGTCGATGGATAAACAAGTACCAGACACAACAAGAACAATAAATATTTGTTCAAGAAGAAGAAGAACAGAAGCAAAGAAAAAGACAGGCAGGACAAAAAAAAGGAGATACAGATAGGTTCAAAAAAGCACTGTTAGAGGCCTGCAGAATCCGGCAAAGGTAAATCCAGCCAGCGCCGTGGGCATTGATCCTATTGCAAGCAATCCGGGAGGAGTTTCCAAGCTTCCCGAAGAAAAGAAGAATCCAAAGGAGAGAAAGCAGTATTCCGAAGGAGATGGAGGTCCTTTGGGTCTTCTCACACAAAAGTGAGCTATAGCTATAGGCGGTGTGTTGGACAGCTAAGGCGACCAATCCAGAGTGGCCAGCTTCAAGCTTAGCTGTAGCTCCCTGGCGGGTATGTAAGTTGTGGTATCAGGCACTAAATTCAGTGCGAAGGCCCGAATTGTCCTTGAGGATCCAAAATTCCAGGCAATAGAGGAATGGACGCTGCTCGTCTGGGCAAGATAGACCTGTAAGACAACTGCTTCGTCAGCCCCGGAATGGACACGCTTTATGTACCGCTATGCACAGGCAGGTTGATCAAGCTCACGCGGTAGGCTCAGCACTTGGCGCTCGTTAGTCTGGAGAGCAGAGCAGGGCGGCCCCGGTCAGAGTCGATCACTAGCGATGCTCGGGTTGGCATCGAGAGGCGCGAGGAGAGGAGAAGGAAGTCGAATCGACAGGCACAGCCAAGTCTCGAGGCCACCTGTTTCGTCCCAAGTAATCGGGCGCCTACGACTAGATCCGGGGTCAACGGCCCGCGCTTGAGAGGTGCAAGGGGAAGCTCTTTCATACGTGTAGTCTGGCCTGTATTCTCGCTCGCGGCTGGTGGAGCAGGAACGTTGTGGACGTTGGCGGAAGCCTTCGGTGGGACGAGATGCCGTATCAAGGTCAAGGGTGCGAGCCGGCAGCAACAGGCTGGAATGCTGCAACCAATCTGTGACTTGCGGCAGAAGACGTGACCAGAGTGGCAAGGCCCCGAGGCTGTTTCATGACGCGGGTGATGCTCTCTAACCTGCTTTTTGGAGGAGGCAAGAGCAGAGTTGCTTCATGGATCTCGTCGCCTCGCAGGACGTTTGGAGCGAAGCACACGATCGTGGGGTAGGGCAGGTTTGGGTTGGGCTCCGCTGATTGTTGCCCAAAGCTCAAAGCAGTAACGGCGGTCATCCTGGCAGCTGGGGTCCGGAAATTCCAGGCAGGGAAAAATGGCAAGGGAAGCGGTCAATGCATGTGGTAGGCTGGCTGATATCCGTTTGGGCATCAACGTGAGGGCCATTAGGCTGCTTCTGCCTCCAGCCCAACCGCATTGATCCGGACAAGCTGCCCACTTAGGTCACGGCATGGCCATCCACGGCTGGAAACATTCATGCGAGGACGAGCGGATCCGCGAAAGAGAAGCAAGTGAGGAGGTTTGGACGACGAATTCAGCCGAACCGCCCGTATCATACGCCGAGAACTGCTCGAGCTTCGCTGAGAGATTGCAGACGCCGTGAACCGAAGAACGGCTTTCCAGCGGGCTTGGAGTGCATGCAGTCGGCCAATCCGAGTGAACACATGTGTATGTAGCATCTAGCAGTGCTTTAGGCAGCATAGGTACAGAAGACGAATTACCATTGGCTTTGGCTAAGGTTTATGCATGTAGTGTTTCGCACGCATATTCAAGGTTCCTGGAGCTCTGGAGAGCTCGATAAAGCTCGAAGCCAAGCTCAGAGCTCTCTGTCAGGATCATGGTCGATTGGGCAATGGGATTGGAAGATTGGCGGCTTCAGCTGGATCGGGGATAAGCGAGCACGCGAGAGCAAGGCCTGCCCGAGGACATGGGTGAACCTCTGGCGCTCCCGTTCCATGGGTTGGACAATATCGATCGCAATTCCTCGATGGCCTTTGGAGTCGACGGGGTACCTGGAACTGACCAGCGAGCTAACACGCATTCGGGCGTTCTAGGTACTGCTATCACTTATGCCTCTATCGATTACGGATAATACATGCCTCTACAAAGTTCTGTCAAATGCGTTTGATTGCGAGAATTGCTCCAGTCTCGGATCACGGAGTATATGCTCTAGTACCTTGCAGGAGTGAGGAACTCGACATTGCTTCAACCTGGGCTCACCTACACAGCCGTTCTCTAGTGCAATGCTCACCGGAGTGCGTGGAGACGTTGGGTGTCAATCTCGTATACGGAGTGCGGCGTAAAGGCAGCCGAGACAGTTTCAACAACGGTCCCAAAGCAGCAACGAGTGGCTTTTATACTACCTACCACCTACATGTAGACGACCTAATTTCCGGAGTGTCAATCACAGGCTGGTCCTACGGAGCACAAGCGTGATAGCACTGCCAAGCACTCTTGTTTATTCTAGAATGCTAATTGCACCTGTCACACTCGGACGTAGTGCGAATGCTAGCACGGCTTCGAGACATGGCACACGGAAGAGCAAACCATGAGCTGGGCATTACGAACCCGTCAGGCCTCAATCAACCGCCCCGGTTACATCCGCCAAACCAAACCTTGTTTTCGACGTGGAGCAGCTCGGGACAGTGGATCCAACTCAAAAACGATCGACAAATCTGAGCAGCAAAACAATGCAGAGCAAACAGGGAGCGTTTCGCTTCAATCTCCGTACAAAACGGAGCGTAAGAATGCCAGAATATCTGCAAATACTAGCCAGATTGGTGCTGAAGGTATCAAAAATTCATGATTTGGATGGAACTCAGCATACAGAGAATGCCTAGGAGAGAAGAAGAAAAGTGAAGAAAGTGGTCGAATGGAGTAGGTAGATAGCATAGAGGTCCATTATGAGTAAGTCGGGCAGCCATTTCGATTCAACAAATAGCACTCCAGCTGAGCCCAACGGGCTGAGACTGCCGGCGTCCCAGACGGAAATTGAAATGAGCCCATCCGAAATTAGCCTTCAGGCAGCGTAGAAGATTCCATGAAGCCTACCTAGGCGATCATCATAATGCCTCGTCGCGGCTGAAGGCTGGGTTCGGTGTAAGACTGCGGCTGAGGACTCCTGCGAACGAGAGATTGAGCACACTTATGCACACAGCACTTGCTGTATTTTCTGCCTCGGACGGAAGCTGCACCAATGGAGTTATCCGATAGGTCCTTGATGGGTTGTTCCAGTGGTCGTCAAGCAATGAAGCAGCCTGGAGAGGAAGAAGCGGTCTTCCCTGCGCAGATGGTTGACAGATGTGAGCACCAAATAGGATATCAGTATTACCGCCGCAAAACCCTCCATTTCCTTGAGATATGGATGCAGCAACAGACACAGCTTCAAGCCATTTATCTGTATAGGTATATAGAACTGCAGAAATTTATGCTGTGAATATCAAATGGTATCTTCGTGAGAGGTTTTGTTCTTCCAGGAGAGGGGGAGGAGGACCGAGCTCGAGAGATGCCACTGCCAGGCGGCTTAGCTAATGCAGCAGTCGCTGCGGTCTGGGCTGTTTCAACCTCAACCGCTCTCCTCCAACCAGTCGACACGTCGTCTTCTCTTTTATTTCAATGGCTCACCTGCCCGCGCGCGGTGACGAAATGGCTGAGCAGGTGCATAATCGCGTTTCTGCGTGATCACTGTCGACGCTCTTTATTCGTCTGCGACGCTCCCTGCCTGCATGCCAGCGCATCTTTCTGGCGGCATTTTGGACGCTGGTGCTGATAAACCCCGCTTCCAAGACTCTGAAGCGGCCAACGAGAGGCTCGAGATGCCCTCGCGCGGTCCACCATGTTACGCTTCACCATGCAGAGCGCAGCGCTTGGCCGCCTGATACGAGCCGCCGACAGCATGTACAACACATACAGTAGGCTGGCCTGGCCGGTCCTGGGGTGCGGCCGCCGGCAATGACGGAACTGAAGCTGCTCTCAACGCCAGACCCGGCTTGTTTTCTTCGCTCGACAGGGCCTGAGACCGCTAGCCAAGGACCAGGGGATGCTCAACCGCCGTGCTTTTTCTACAGACTCAGAGCGGCAATATACTGGCGACGAACAGCTGCTTCACGGCTCACAGCATTCTTCTCTCACCGGCGAGGCATTATATGTCAAACGAGGCCAAGACGCAACAGCTCGCGGCACCGCCTCACCGACCGTCTCCTCCTCCTGCAACTACGGCAGAGAAAAAATTTTCGTTGGTGCCCGCCTACTTTGCACTGCTGTGTTGTCCTGCAGCCATCACCACCGTTCGTCACTTCGCACGACGATGCTCGTCAATGATAGGATCCCCCGTCGGTCTCGTGCTCCACTAGATCCATCCAACAACCAAGGAAGAGACCCGGCCAGCGCCAGCACACCATGCAGGCCCCTGTAAAGCGAGCCTATCATCCTCGACGAAAACACGCCAGCGCACTCCTGCGGCCAGCACAGAGGCCATTGCGGCGGCCGTTTATTGGCATTGCTGAGTGGTGAGACACGCTTGCGGCGGGGGTATTGCGCCTACTCGGATCAAGAGTCAGACTGGACGGCAATGATAAAACCCGCAGGGCCCCCTCGTTGCCCAACTTCCTCTCCTAATTCTTCTTTCTGCCCAACGGTTTCTGCCCAAAACATCCTTGAATCCCATATCATCGTACCAAGACCGACTTTTCACTTCTCATTTGTATCCACTTGCAGCCCCCATCTCATCATCAGTCAGCCGCCAGGAACTGCAAGTAAACCCAAGGGACTTTTTTCGTCGCCACCATCACTTCGATCTTCACCGTCAACTCTTCCAAGTTGACCTGCCGGATCTGCCATCCAGGGCCCTGTTCATAGATTCCACCCGGGACACAATGACAGCTGCTCTTTTGCCTCACCAGGCGAACATGCCTAGCTATAATGCTGTTGACCTTGATGAGGTCTCTTCGCTGCCCAGGTACTGTTTTCTTTATGCTCAGGATATTGCTTGTTTTCTCTGCTTTTTCTGCTATTGTTTTTCGTTTGTTCTTTTTTCTGCTTTTCAAACTTCGTCCTGTTGAGCGACAAATCATGTCATTTCTTTTTCCTCTTTGTTTCTGTCAGCTTGTCTTGCCGCCTTGAAACCAGCCACAGGATACACCAGGATGCCAAAAAGCCATTGGAATAGCCACGCGGACCTTCTGAACGGAACAGAACTTTTTTTTGGAACAGGACTTGTCCAGCCGGACAAGGAAACAATAATTGAGAAATCAATGAAATATATAATTTTTTGGCCTCGTGCCAGCGGTAAGTATCGGCCCGCTATTTGAATTGAAGCGACAGATTTTCGATATCTTCCATTGGCCAAATCTTTGCATGAGCCACGTATGTGCTACGGAGAACCTGCGGAGTCAAAGGACCTTCTGGACCATCCAGCGAATGTACGGACCTGCTTTTCTTAGATCTCGGGATGACCAGTCACCGCACGACCTACGACTGTACAGCTGGCCCTGAGCGGTCTACACGTGGACTTGGACGGAAAGCAGTTTAATTTGACTGCGAACGCAAACTTGCAGAAGCGGATCTGTGACAACTGGCCTTACTCTGAGCTGGACCTTCACCGACTCCATAACCCATGTGTCTTTCGACTCACGTGTCCGGACCTTGTTGGCCTTTCGGTTCGAAATGAATGTACGCGATTATGAATTTTTGCTAGCTTTGTTCTTTTTGCTTTGCCCTTTTTTGCCCTGCTTGACCGGGAATCACAACGACCCAAAAGAGGACTACACTGGACCATGATGGATTACGCCAACTCATCTCTTGAAGCCGGAGCCCAATATGGATACTTTCTCGTGGGATTGTGAAGACTTGCTGTCAGAACAACTACCTCTTTTGTCTATGGCTCGGTTTGTGTGACCATGTTTCCCTATTGACCCTACGATTAGCTTACTGACCTCTCTCGTAGGATCAAAGCTGATACCGCAAGCCTAGCCTTGTTTATTTCTATTTTCTTTTCTGCGTTGATGAATCTTGGTGGTGAGAACAGCACACTAACCTGACCTAGCAACTTCAGCTACTCTCAGTCATCTATGGCTGCGCCTACCCCTGCCATGTTTTCTTTTTCTCATACAGAACCAACGGCGGACCTTATGAACGGTTCGTCGTGGGGTGCAAATGCAGAAGGGCCACAGAACCTACATGATTACCCGGACAATGGATCATCGCACTCAGGAGAAGCCGAGGACTATCTTTTTGCATCTGGTCATAACTCACCTCGGGGACCCAGACTTGATCAGGCCCAACCCGCTGCGGTGGCCTGGGCCGCTCCCAAGGCGCCCATGTCCATCCACATAGGAGCCCAGGCAATGTCTCGAGCTAGCTCGAGCCGCTCCAACGGCTCTGTTGTTTCACCGACACAGATGTCTAATATGAGCACTAGAGGTAATGCACAAGCTTTCCGGAGTGGATCTCAATCTACTGGCTCCATGAACGGAATGGATTCCTGCCTCTTGAACTCAGATGCCCACGGTGTTTCATCCCACATGTACTGGTCCGACTACGCCTCTCTCGAAATGGGCCTGGGTGCCGATGGCGTTGCTTTCCCGGTCCATAACGTGAACCCGCTCCACGTGGTTCCATCTCAGATGCACTTTGCCAATGATTCTGTTCCGGATGCATCATCCCCCAGCACTTGGGATTGCTTTTCCAGCTCCATCTCCAGAACTTCCTCCCCTGCTACCATTGATGATTCATGGCAGTCTGCTCCTTTTAGCCCTGCCTCTTCCCCCGAGCTTTGCCAATCGCCTAGGTATGTTATATTCCACAATGTGGATGAAACATCTTCTTACCGGCTCGATTTTAGAGACAGAAAAATCCCCATGATGCCAGAGGACCTTCACAAACACCAAATGGAAGATACTTCCTCTCTTCCCCAAGCCTATACCGCTCGCCGACAGGGAAATGATGGAGAGTCTGCCCGAGACCATGCTTTGTACAAGAACGTCACTCCCAAGGGAGACGGCCTCTTTCACTGCCCCTGGGAGGGCCAGCAAAACTGCAACCACAAGCCCGAGAAGCTTAAGTGCAACTACGAGTAAGCCTATATGATGCTATACTTTCAGATTTTCAAATGCTAATACCAACCCCTCTTACAGCAAGTTTGTTGACTCCCACTTGAAGCCCTACCGATGCAAGGCTGAAGCTTGCGAGGGCGCCAGGTTCTCCTCTACTGCCTGCCTTCTTCGCCACGAGCGTGAAGCTCATGGTCTTCACGGCCACGGCGATAAGCCTTTCCTCTGCATGCATGAAGGTTGTGAGCGATCAATTCCTGGCAGCGGTTTCCCCCGCCAGTGGAATCTGCGAGACCACATGAAGCGAGTCCACAATGACCACGGCAGCGCTGGTAGCTCCCCTATTGGAGCTGCTCAGCAAGCCGCCAAGGGACGCAAGCGCAAGTCGTCTGATGTTTCTGATGCCCAAGGCTCCACCAGCCGCAAGGCCTCCATCAAGTCGATGCCTGCCCCAGAGCCAAAGCAGCCCCCTGTCAAGCCTCTCATTGAACAGTGGATGGACCACCGCCAGGTGGTCACTGAGATGCTTAGCCGAATGACCAAGCCCAATGATCTCCACAACCTCCAGCACATTTCTGAGGCCCAAAAGCACCTTGAGGCTATGCTCAAGATGACTTCGGCCCAAGTGAACATCAAGACTGAGTTGGCACCCAACGGCCGACACTATTTGCCTTGAAGTGTTGATGACAGATCCTATTTTGGTCTCTCATTCTTTACCATGATATAGCTCTACACAAGCTTGTTCCCTTTTTTCTTTTTTCCTATTTGCATCATAAACATACACCCCATCTGAGCTTACCCGGGATAGGAATCCCATGGAGCGCGCCGCGAGTAAACAGTCTCGCATTTTGTTACATCTTTCTTTCTTTTCTCGGATGCTAAAAGTACTGGTTGGAATTGGGTTTGGGTTTGGAAATTGGACCTGGATTTGGAACTGGGTTTTGGATTTGGGCTAGGATTTGGGTTTGAAAGGGATAAACAGCGTTTGATTTGATGCTCATTCTTGTCTTCACATGGTTTTTTCTTTGTCAATACCCTCAGTTTTCTTTCGGTACTTTAGATTTAGATGCCTTTTTTTAGGGCACCGGCATTCGCTCAGCCAGTTTCACTGGTGATGATTTTCTTAGAATATTTTTCTTCTTTTTGGGTTGGAAATGGTATATACTTTCATGATGACAATGACATTACTGCTTTTTGCTTGTTACTGATACTGTCTTTGGCTCACTGACTTCCCTGTGAATGGCTGCTAAGGAAGCTAGCTACCTCTACCATAGTACAGTGTAATAGTGCTCCTTCAACGAACAGTGAGCTCTCTACTGAGTCCCCTTCGAGAGGTATGTTTTCACACCAGTGAACCAAGCCAGCTTGCCGCAATAGGGCCTACCATCCAGCATCTCTCAGCACTTGCACCGAACCCCTCAAGGACATGATGAATGGGTACAAGTTGTGAATCAAGCTGATACAATACGTCGTTGCGTCGCGAACTGGCTTCAATGCTGTTTCAGGGTCTCGTGCTACGTTTTGTGGTGCATTTTGCGCCGCCGTGTCCAGAGTCAGGAGACCTTCGTTGAGGGCGATGACGGTTGAATGGAGCATCATCAGCTCTTGATCCCAGTAGTATGAGAAGGTGGGCGTGGACATGGTTTAGGGGATTTTTTTTTCCAATTATAGCGAACTGAGGAAGTGATTTTGGAAGCAGATTTGGCGTTGCTATGGCAAGAGTGTAGGGTGATAGGAAGCTTGCGGTGCATCTGGATACTATGCTAGGGTAGCAGATCTTTGGAGTTGGTGAGGGGCATTGCATCGTCTCTATATATACGGGTGAGATGTTTGTGTATCACGTTCAAGGTTTGGATATTTGTTTCAACTCTGCGATTGATTCATTCTATTTTATACGATTTATTTCACTTGGTATTGTAGTATCTAAATTCATTCATAGGCATGTTCATGAATCATGTATCAATAGCCACATACGTAGCCAGTTACGCGGATCTTCCCTCCGTAGAAAACCATAGAAGAAGCGCTGTAAAATGGAACTAAGACAGCAATCATAGAGAAGATTATGAAGTATTACATCTAGTTAATAAATGAAGTAAGTGATTGAAACCCTCTAGCAACCATGTCATCAGTATTATAGACACATCAAAGATCTCTGGTCTCTTATACTCATGGCACTCATGGCCGATGGTGGGGCCGATCCCAGCACACAGCGCCGTCTACCGGATTTCGGCGCATTCGCGGCACATGTTTAGCGCTAAACAGCTGCTCTGCCCCTCCACCCGAAGCTCGAACGTTTTCTCGTGCTACCGCTAATCTGCATCATCGACGGCAGCTTCATCTCTCTCTTTAGCTTTGCGCCTTTTTGCATCTGATCCCTATTCACTTTATTCACTCAATACCCTCTACTCCAGTCACAATGGCTCGCAAGTTTTTCGTCGGCGGCAACTTCAAGATGTGAGTTGTGTACCTTCTTTGTTCCCTATCGTACCACCTCCCCGCCATGCCCCGCGTTCGTCAAAACAGCGCAGAGCTCTGGAGATGGACAATTGCAAACTGGGAGCGAAGCTAAGCTAAGCTAATTGATGTCTACTATCAGGAACGGGTCTATCTCGTCCATCAAGGAGCTTGTCAACAACTTGAACAACGCTACTCTCGACCCCAACGTCGGTATGTGCTCGTTTTACCCTCGAAAGGCGCTCTAGTGAAACGGAACGAAACAATTCTAACCGCTGTTCTGCTCTCTCTAGAGGTCGTCGTTTCTCCTTCCTACCTGCATCTGCTCCTCGTGCGTGAGAACCTCCGCAAGGAGATTGAGGTCGCCTCCCAGAACGTCTACGATAAGCCCAATGGCGCCTTCACCGGCGAGGTCTCCGTCTCCCAGCTGAAGGACAGCGGCATCAACTGGACTATCCTGGGCCACTCCGAGCGCCGCACCATCCTCCGCGAGAGCGACGAGGTTGTTGCCGCCAAGACCAAGTACGCCACTGAGAACGGCGTCAGCGTCATCTGGTGCTGCGGCGAGTCCCTGGAGGAGCGTGAGGCCGGCAAGACCATCGACGTGGTCAGCAAGCAGCTCGCCGCCCTCAAGGCCCAGATTTCCGACTGGTCCAAGATTGTCATCGCCTATGAGCCCATCTGGGCCATTGGCACCGGCAAGGTTGCCACCACTGAGCAGGCTCAGGAGGTCCACAAGGCCATCCGAGAGTGGCTCAAGACCAACGTCAGCGACAAGGTTGCCGACGAGACTCGCATCCTGTACGGTGGCAGCGTCAACGAGAAGAACTGCGGCGAGCTCAGCAAGCAGCCCGACATTGACGGTTTCCTCGTCGGCGGTGCTTCTCTCAAGCCTGCTTGTAAGTTGAAACAGTTGAATTTGCTCTGTAGTGCCTCTCATTTGCTAACGAGCCTTAGTTGTCGACATCATCAACTGCCAGAAGCAGTAAATGCTTTCTCCTACCTAGAAAACATGACCCGACAAAAGTTAAACATAGTGTAAAAAAAAAAGTAGTGGAGTTTCCGATAGAAAATAAAATTCGTAAATGAGATAAATGAACATGTTTTCCAGCAGGTTACACTGATTCACAACTGTCAAAAGACATCATTGCTCATGTGTAGCGGCGTGTCATATATGCACCAGCAGCCCAATACCAATTTCATCTATGTGCTCCATCCTAATACAAATACACAGGCATAATACCATAAAAATCGTAGTAAAACAAAAAAGTCGCTCAAATCATACAGCCATGCCCTTGCCGTGGTACGGAGACCAGATGCCTCTGACACTAGGCTTGGTGCTCAGAACAGCCTTGTTCGTCCGTCTCAACTTCTCTCCGCTGGCATCCCTTAACAATTCCACCTTTTGCAGAATCTCGTATGGTGAGAGGTTGCGCACGCATATGGGCTTTGTACGGCCGTTGATGTAGTGGCCGACGACAACGGGGTGCTTGCCGGGTCGTGGGGAAACGGCGAACTCGATCTGGGGGTTGGCGGCTGCGAATCTGGGAAGCAGTGATTTGATGAAGCCACTATAAGGAAGATCAAATTAGCAATAATTAACGGATTGTGCTCTCGGCTCGTGTGAATGTGCCTACTTCATTCCCTTTGAGCTGCCCGCCCAGTCGCAGTAATGCAGATCCAGCTTCCTGCACTGAAGGACAAACGCCCCCAGGCCATTCTAGACTCCAAGTCAGTTCGTTTCCGCCACTAATTGATGTAAATTGTCCACATACCTTGCCATCAGCAATGGCTCGCAACGCCTTGACTGTCATTTTGGATGTGGTCTGAATATTCCAGCCGCTATTCTCATGATCGAGCTCGTAGCACGTCTAGCGCAGCATCGAAAATTGAAACAATTCGAGGGTCGGACGGATCGGGACTAGCGTAAAGAGGCACAACCCCGGCAAAACTCAATTCAGTTGGAGTCGAGCTACACGAATTTACTGCTGCCAGAGCGCGCGGCAGCTTGTCTCACGCTACTTGCTGCAGGCAATAACCCGTTCGCACCAGGGCATCTCGATATCTGGACGCCAGAACCCGTGGTCGCCTTTGACCGAAGAGTCCTGCATCTTCTCTCTGGCTGCCGATCGAATCGATAGCGACGACGGCGATTGCCCAGATCTTACGCGATGACTGACAAGTTACCCCCTAACTTGTTGGCGCTCTTTGCCGCGCGACCTCCGCTGCGATGGGTAGAACCCTCTGACCATGCGCCTGAGAAGCGCAGGACAGCTCCCATCGGTGGCGTTGCTGCTTTCCTGCCTGAGCTTCAAAAGTACAAGGAGACGGACAAGTACGAGCCCACCGAGAGCTGGCTGGAGATGCGCGATCGGAAAAAGCGAGAGGCAAAGGAGAATGCTACGAATCTTGTTACCGAGGGGCCCAATCAATGTAAGGATGCCAAATGGAGCTGGAACGCAGCTTTGACGCCAATATTCATTGCGTACTAACCGGTGCTATTAGTCAAACCAAACGAGGATCCCAACATCCGTGGAGATGCCTTCAAGACTCTCATTGTTGCCCGCCTTAGCTATGACGCCGAAGAGCGTGATCTGGAAAGAGAGTTTGGGCGGTTTGGCCCCATTGAACGTGTTCGTATCCATCGATACCTACGTTATAGATTGACAACTGGAACTGACCTTCTCCGCTAGATTCGCATTATTGTTGATACCCATGCTCACGAGAAGCCTAACAAGAAGAAGAAACCACACAGAGGTTACGCATTTGTTGTTTTTGAGCGCGAAAAAGATATGAGAGGTAAACCATTCCAATCCCTTTTATGCTATATGGCCATCCCAAATCCAAATTCCGGTGGATATACCTCGAAGATGCGGCCCTCAAGCTTGCCCATCTGTAGAAGCATACCACAAGAGACGTTCACTAGGCCCTCAAGCTTGCCTGTCTCAATCTTCCCAATTTATGAACCGTGAATTCACGCACAAAGTTTATGGTAAGAGTTGCTAACATTGGCGTCTTCTGACGCAATAACAAATAGCTGCCCTGGACGCTTGTGATGGTATTCGCATCAAAGACAGGCGTATCAAGGTGGATGTTGAACGCGGTAGGACTGCTAAGAACTGGCTGCCCCGCAGATTAGGCGGTGGCCTAGGCGGTCGAGGCTATACCCGAGCCATGCCATCTCGCCCTGGCGGCCCTGGAGGCTTTGGAGGAGGTGGCGGAGGAGGAGGAGGAGGCTTCCGCGGAGGCTTCAAAGGAGGTTTCGAAGGAGGCCGAGGCCGAGGCGGATTCCGTGGAGGCTTTGGTGGTGGCCGTGGAGGCGGATTCCGAAGCGGTGGCGGCGACTTTGGCCCTAGAGGCGGCGACAGAGGCGGCGACCGAAGCGGCTTTGGAGCACCCAATGGAGCCCCGTCCGGCCCTGGAGGATTCGACAGAAGAAACGGAGATCGAGGCTTCTCTGGTGGTGGGTATGAGTCTCGAGGCGGCGGACGCTCATATGACGACAGATCTGGCGGCCACCGAGATGGCGGCGGTCGGTATGGCGATCGTGACCGTGAACGAGACCGCGACCGCGACCGCGACCGTGATCGAGACCGTGGTGACCGTGGTGACCGTGGTGACCGTGATCGTGATCGAGACCGCGAGGGACGTCGGACCGGTAGTAACATGGAACCCATTGGCCGCAGAGAAGGTGGGTATCGGGAGAGGGACTATGATCGCCCACGCGATGAAGACAACCGGAAGCGAGGATACGAGGGTGGTGGCCACGAGGACCCTCGAAAGCTGCGCCGCTACTAAGCTAGATGACTGGTGCAAGTCGACACAAATTTCGACACCTTGGTGGGTAAGCAATGAATGCTTGACGAATTTCCTTTGCATCCTTTCTTTCACCTCTCAAGGGTAAGAAGCCTGCAGTCTGCCACCAGACCATTGTCAGACACTTAGATCACCAAAAGTTCAACACCTCCCCGATCCATCTTATCCTATGTCGTCTTTTCTAAGCCTGTAGCCCACGATTTTTGACTTATGGGTAACAAATCCTTCTTGCCGCTGGTTTCTTGGTCAAGAGAGAGAGAGAGGCCACTACTATCAAATACTGAGTATCAATCAGCTTGTCACTACTGGACAGGAAACACTTAATAATAGGGACAGGACGAAGAAGTATCTTGTCTCGTTATGTATTATAGGGCGTTTGGCAGGTAAAGCAAGTACAAAATTTGGAGCTTGAGGTAAAGTCCGAGGTAAGCTCTTGTGACCTGCTGATTGCAAGATTGAGGTAATTGCTTTCTTCTGTTTTTCGCAATTAGTTTCTTCAAAGACCTTAGGCAAAAAATAAAAAAAAAAAGGAGAGAAAAAGAAGAGTAGAAACAAATCAATAACAAAGAAATCAATTGATGTGCCAATTAATCTTTGTTTTTGCGGCTATGCGAAGATGGATGCGTAGCTATCCTTTTGTAAACAACCATGACGAGAAAGATATGAGACGAAGACCATCTTTATTGCTTGATCATCATTTTCAGGAGCATATGCATATGTATATGAACGTGTAATGTCCTCTATTATTTTTGAAACCCTGTGAAGAAGAACCTTGGAAACGCCGAAATACCCAAACAAATCCGTTGCTGGTATATGTTGCACGCACACAGAACATTTTCCACCGAAAAAACTACAACCTCAAAAATCGTTGATCAAAGTGCTTTAATCCTCCTCCTCAACTCCTTCCATGGCGGCTTGGTCGATTTCCGTTACCTCGCTGGTGGCAGCGCTCCAGTATCTACAGAGTGTTAGATGCCAATGCCAATGCCATATGATGATGATGATGATGATGATGATGATGATGATGATGATGACAAGGACAAGAAGGAGGATATAGAAAACTTACGCTAGAACCTTGATTTTGAACTCGCTCAGGCAGACGTCAAACAGTTTCAGCAGTCTGGTTTGCCGTGAATCCAAAACATCGCCCTCTTTGCAGACAGTGTAGCCCTCGCCCTCGCCATTCTCCTCGCCCAGCACGACCTTGCCCTTGACCATTCTGGTGGGAATGCCCAGTCTTCGCAGCTCAGGCTCGATTGTGTGTCCGAGAGGGATGTCGTTCTCCTTGGGGACCTCGCCGCCGGTAGCGTAAACAACGCCGGGAGGAATGATAAAGGAGCGTGAGGCGGTAACGCCGGCGCGGGCGAAATCCACGGAGACGATGCCGTTCAGGTAGTCGAGGACCTCGTTGACGGGGCGGTTGGTGAGAAGGAGGCCGACGGTGCCGGTGATGTGCGGCGCGAGGCCCTCGATGCCGGGAAGGATAGCTTCTTCGGGGGTCTGTCCAAGGGCTTTGGCCATGAGCTTTGTCTTTCCGAAGAAGAGTCTATATTCGTCGTAATATTGGTTAGCTAGAGTGCCTCATTCTTTTGGAGTTTCTGTTGTGTCTCGAAATGGGACACGTACCGGCTGTCGGAGAGCTCCCGGCGCACCTCCTTGAGGTAGTTGTTGCGCATGTTATCCACATTGAAGACAATGCAGTGCTGGTACTCGGGAACCTGATCGCGAATGTTTTGGAAGAGCTGATCCTTTTGCTCACGGGTCTTCTTGGAGACCTGGGTGAGGTGGACAACCTTTGCGCGCTTGGACTTGGGCATCTTGGGCGAATTGGAAAGAAAAAAAAAAGGTTGTAAATGTGAGGATTTAAAAAGAGTGAAGATTCGTCTATGGGAGAGAAAAAAAGAGAAATCCGAAAGTTGCTGCAAGTTTTTGACCTGGCTCGGTAGGTAGGCTTTTGGGCAAGGGTAGATTTTAGATTTTTTGGCGATAAGAAAATTTATTATCAAGGTGAGCTAAAAAAAAAAATCTAGGTGTGCGGCAACACCCCGCATTGGCTCACCGAGAATTTGGACCAGGGATGTCTGACCGGGTTTCATACGGGCTTGAACGTCACTTTTCAATTCGTCATTGAGGGCGAAAAGACTTGAGATTGCTGTCTGAGTTGAAGATTTTCTGTTAACAATCAATTGTCCAAATGAATTAAATCTTCACGTCGGTGCCAATGACATGAGTGACATCTGTACATTGAAAACTACTCCAAGGCACTAGTACCTAACAGTTATCCGGCTGATACTTTCACAGCACCACTCAGCGGCATCTACTTTCGAAGTTAGTTGATCATTGCAATCTGTACATTCGTTGATAATCTATTTTTAGCAGATTATCCTGCTTGACAAATTCAAAGATGAACTTTGATACAATATAGAACTTCAATTGGCTGGAAATGTGACCCACGATGAGCATCTGCTTAACCCCTGGCTTTGCATCTCTTTCAAGATCTACCACGCTTGGGGCTTGCGGGGCAGAATTGCTGGTCATTACCGAACTATCACACGCTGTATGTGATATGTAATACATACTATACCACTGCGTGATCCGTTTATGTATGCCGTTGGCTACCTACATCTATACTAATGCATGCAAGGGGACAGAAACAAAGTACGCAACTCTATGCTCGCTTTGTCTGAGCTTCGTATTGTCCAGCCTTTGTGTTTCAGTTGAGCAAGAACTGAGCAATGCTTTCTCGTTTCTTTCACTGCGAAACAAACAAGTTGCAGCTACTGGCGGGCCAAGTCTCCTTACCCTTAGCCGTTAGCCTTTAGATCAACAAAGAGCATACGCCATGATGCATGCAAGCCGGGAAAACCTCCCCCGCGATATTATCTAATTCCGTTCCGAAAATGAGCGGCGCACGGACCACGCGGCGTTAGGCGACTGACTGACCCAGAATTTGGTATTTTTTTCTTTCGCCCGCCCACCAAACATCATAACGGCAACTTCAAAAGAAGCTTCCGCCTAATCTCTTCCTTTTGCACCCGTGCAATCCGCCTCTCTTCTCCCCTTCTCCTCTCCACCTACCACGACTCCGCTACCACGACCATCACCGTCGTCCATCCGTGAGCTTCGCCAGCTTCTATATCCTTTGGACTCTCTGTGCCGCTCTCAATTCCTCTCCCACCTTGTGCTTGTGCATCGATTTCCATTTGTTTGTCATCCCACAAGTGCCCGCAGCTCCTCCACTCGAATCTCCTCAGCCTTCCCACCTCTTCTCGATCATCGAAGACTCCGTTTCTCTCTTGGACTAGCATTCAGCTCGTTGAGACAGTCATTTCCTGCTTTGTCAATTTTCCTCTTCTTCTGGATTGCGTTGATACCCAACTTCGACGTGATCGCTGCCCCACGATAACTTCATTTCGCCCCCACGCCTTTGGATCTCGAACATTTCTTTTTGACTTCAACTCCTTCCTCCAACCATGGCTACCAACGGATCATTCACCAACCAGGACCAGTACAAAGCTGCTGAGCTGCCGGCCGTTTCAACGGGTCCGGCTGACGCGAGCGCTTCTGGAAACAACCTTTCCAAGGATGAGGTTGGCTGGTACTTTGTTGAGCAATACTACACTACCCTGAGCAAATCACCAGAAAAGCTTCACGTGAGTTGTCCTAATGCGCTTATATGACGCATGTTGGATACTGACGACATTTGAATAGCTTTTCTACGGCAAGCAATCTCAGTTCGTGTCCGGACTTGAGGCTCAGGTTGCCAACGTGTCTGTTGGTCGTCAGGTATGGCTTTTTTTCCCTCCCCCTCCCCACAAAACGATATAAGCTAAAATTGTACCAATCAGGCGATCCAAGAGCGCATCAAGCAGCTTGACTTCCAAGACTGCAAAGTCCGAGTATCCAACGTCGATTCGCAGGCCTCATTTGACAACATTGTCATCCAGGTCATCGGTGAAATCTCAAACAAGTCTGGCGAGCCCAAGAAGTTTGTCCAGACTTTCGTTCTTGCCCAGCAGCCCTCTGGCTACTTCGTCCTCAATGACATGCTCAGATACATCAACGAAGATGAGGAGGAACAGGTTGTTGCCGAGGCCGAGCAGGAAGCCTCTGCCGCTGAGCCAGAGGCATCTGCCCTTGAGGTGCCTGTTGCTGCCGTGCCTGAATCTGCCGAGGAGGATGTGAAGATCGAGGCTGTCAACGCCGACGAGGTGGACCAGAAGCTCGAGGAGGCTTCCAAGGTCAACGGTACCGATGCTGAAGAGCCTGCCGAGGCCGCAGAGACCACCGTTGCCGAGCCGGAGAAACCCGCGCCAGCTGACCTTGAGAATGCTGCTAAAGCAGTTGCCGAGGAAGAGGCCAAGGAGATTGCTGAGCTGCCCAAGGAGCCAAGCCCTACTCCTGCCCACAAGCCCACTGCTAAGCCTGAAACTGCTGCTCCTGTTGAGCCGGCTGCTCCTAAAGTGCCAATGACTTGGGCTAGCCGCGCCGCTGCCGCCGCCGGCCCTCGACCAGTCGTTCCTCTTCCCAAGACCGCCACTCCTCCAGCTCCAGTTCAGAACAGGGCTCCCGCGCCTGCTGCTGCAGCTGCTGCAGCTACTGCTACTCAGCCCACTGCCGCGGCTGCTGCACCGGCATCTGCTCCTGCTGCTGAGGCTGCCAAGGAGGTCTCTGGATGGCAGACCGCTGGCGCCGATTCTAAGCGCCAACCCCGACCTCAGTCCATTGTTGCGAACGCTGAGAAAGAAGGCACAATGGGTTACGTCAAGTATGTCACAGAGAAAGTTCAGGATGCCGAACTCAAAAGTGCTTTGGCCGCTTTTGGCGAACTGACCTACTTCGATATCAACCGTGCTAAGGTACGTCGATCAACTCTCCCTCTTTTCTGTGTATAATGATTGGTAAGAATAGGTCGTACTAACTGGTTTGTTTCTTAGAACTGTGCCTTTGTTGAGTACAAGACTGTTGAGGGCTACCAAGCTGCTCTAGCCGGCAAGAACCTTACCGTTAATGGCGAAAACATTGTTGTCGAGCCCCGACGACCCAAGGCCAACACCTACGGCGGTAACTTCGGCGCTGGCCGTGGTAATGCCTCAGGCCGTGGCCGTGGCGGCTTCGATGGTAACCGTCCTGGCGGCCAGAATGCTAGAGGCAACTTCACTGGACAGGGCCGTGGCCGTGGCGGTGCTGCCCGTGGTCGTGGCGGTGCCCAGGTCGCAAACGTCTAGATGACGAGCGTGCCAGTCTAAACCTCTCATAAGACAAACATCAAAAGCGTATTCAAACAAAGAGAGAGAGAAGCAGAAAAAAATTAAAGCTGCGAGTTTATCACTGCCATACCCAAATATTAGGATGGCTAGCATGATGGTATTTTACACTTTCGGGGGAAAGGCGAACAAAATAGGTTAGAGGGCTGCCAGAGCGGAGGTGGAAGAAGCTTGAAGACGAGACTGGATTTTGGCCCAGGCCCTCCTAAAAGTTATCTGGTTTGTTTTTGGTGGTGGAGTATGAGCAAGCCCAGGCTGGCGTCGATTTTTTATTTCGATTTTTTTTATCATTGTTCTTCCTTTTCCTTTTTCATCTTACCATCCCATTATTGGCATGGCTGCATCTGTTCATTGCGATTAGGGGACTCAGGGGCTAGTAGGATAGCCTACTGAGCAAAAAAATAATAGGGAGGGAGGATCCTTCGTGTTTTATGTATATTTCAAAGGGAAAAGGGGGACTCTGGATGTTGCTTTGGCTTGCTGTTGTATCGGTGGGCGGAGCTATCCTTGGTTGGCACGGCGCATGGCGATGGGTGGTGATATTTTCCTATTTCCACTTGGCCTTGGTTGGTGGAGAATTCTTGGCAGCGTGTAGGCGGACATGAGGATAAGAAAAAGAATGTATATTAGGCAGTTACGCGAGATGCAAATAAAGTATGCCATGACGTTACGTTGTTATGACTGCGATGGCTGGCTTTACTTGACATGTTGCATGTGCTGTTGGCACTATTGGGATGTCGTAATCGAGCATGTTGCTGACTGGCTCCGGGTTTGTGCCTGTTGTATTATTACCTATATCTCTCCATGCATTTCCTGTTAAGAGTGTATCGAGTCCTCTGAGCTCCTGGTTGATATCAATATTGGACATTTATCACCAGTTCACCAGATATTGAAGTTGGAAATGGAGTTATGATAAGCAATTGGTAGGGCTGGAAGAGAGCCACGAGATTCGAAGATACTCAGAGAGAGATGAGGGAGATGGCTTGTATAAGTTTGTCTCTAAACGATAAATCCATCGTAACATCCCGTTTCACGATTGGCAACGAATCTTTGAGATAGCCAACACAACAACCTGGATACATGAAGATGGCATGAGCTCACAAAGGTACTCATACTTGAGATGTTGGTCAATAAAATCTGAACGCTGAAAAGGGTTTCATCTCGTAACACCCAAGGACTGTTAAGAAGAATAGAGGTAGGCCGACTCAAGAGTTTCGTATATTCTTGCAAAGGCCAGGACGATATGTATGGAGTAGGCTTCATCTGCAGCTCGAAAATAACCTCCTTTCAAGTAAGTCAAGAACGAGAGAGCAAATTTCATCAAAGTTGTCAATAGTCTTCATTTTATCCTCTTTTTTTTTTTTTTTTTTTTTTTTTTTTTTTTTTTTTGTTTTTCTTCCTTTTTACCTTTTCCATTTCCTCGCTTTTTTTATTAGACTTTTCCTCAACGCAGTCAATAGATTTACTTTAAGCCACTTGCTATGGCATCTTTATAAATACCTCTCCCAAAACATTGAACTTCAACTTGCAAAAAAAAAAAAAAAAAAAAA